GGTTTCACCGGAAAAACGTTTCACAATCATAGCATATATTCCTGCCCACATTTCTCACACTCCATCACATAGTCAAGTACACCTTGTTCTACCTCGTCTTCATTTATAATTTGTAAAATATCGAGACTCAACATGCACCAATTTTGCGGTCCAGGCCCTTCTCTGATGTGGTTCTTGATACATGACAATGGACAAGATGAACGTAGTCACAACACTCACTGAATGAATGAAATAATATGTTTATTTTCCAAATAATATAGCCTACAGAATACAAAATACATAGGCCTACTTTTTAACATTACGATTACAAAATATTTCAACTAAAACTATAAAATAAAAAAGAAACATTTTTGTATTAACATAAGTTATTTGATTTAAGAAAATCAGCAGACATAGGCAAGTGCTGCCTGTGCGTCTGCTGGGTTGCTATTTAAAAAATTGGTAAAAACCAAATCATAATGGAAACATTTGAAAATTAAAATAACCGTTGCTTAAAAAATATTAGCCTAAGTTTAGGGAGATGACGACTGAGACGCTGTTCCGTCGTTGTCTCCCCCCACTACCTATCTGGGAGGTACCGGTACTTCAACATGTACCTTTTTGTAACCAAACTTAGGCCTAAATGCAAAAACTCTATTTTTTTCTACCGGTAGGGGGCCTATTAGGCCCTATCTGTTTAATTAGGCCTACTATCGTAAGAACTTAATTATTTTGGAAAAACATAACTAAATATTTTGTTCACTTAAAAACTAAGTTAATGAATGGGGAGGACATTTAGTAGCCTAATTAGAAGCCTTGGCTAAGTTAAAGTTCAAGCTTAAGTTACACCCATATCTGCTAGAGTGCACTTAGTGGCCTATAGTCCAACTCTCAAACAAGGCAAATGTAATCTAAACATGAAATTTAGTACAAAAATAAATTGAAACATATTTTCCTTTAACTTAAGAGTGGTGCGAAAAAAAAATTAGGTCACTTAGCCTCAGTAGGCTAAGTTATGCCTAAGGCTTAAAAGGCCTAATAAGTAAATCAACTTAGGCTTAGGCTACTTGATCAAGCTTGAATGTAATTCTGCCAGTGGCGGATCCAGAGGGGGGTGAAGGGAGGGACCCCCCCCCCCCCCCCGGGCGTACATTAGGCCTATACTTTTTTTTACTGCATAAAATACAGTAGAGCATACACATTGCGTAAAATTATTTGTCACACTAACTTTGGACAAAGAAATGGTATAAAACTGCCATTTTGAGTTTACACACATATCACTTGTGACTGTTCTAGATCCGCCACTGAATTCTGCACAACCTCAGAACACAAAAGGTTAAAAGTTAAATCACATGTGTCCGTAATAGACCTATAGAAATTTAACTTTGTAAGTTAAAACTTTGATAGGTAGCTTATCCAACTCAGTCGTAATTAAGTAATATTGTATAAATAACAATGGGTAGGCTATTGGGTTTTTGGTCAGGCTAAGTTTAGAGGCCTATTGATCCAATCAATCATTTTATAATTCGGTGGAGTCAGATATTAACCCTTTGAGTGCCAACGTCCGGGGAACCGGACGTTTTTAAAACGAGCCAAAAGTGCCGACGTCCGGCCGACCGGACGTTTATAGAACGAGCCAAAAGTGCCAACGTCCGGCTGACCGGACGTTTCGTAATGATCGAACAGTTGTCATAACAACCGAATGGATACTCGGATTCTTTTAACCCATATATTAACATTGAGTTGAAAGTTACTAGATGCGATAGATCGATTTTCGTTGGTCAAAATATCAAAAATTCGATTTTTACGAAATTTTAACCTAAAAATCGCCAGATTGCGCTCGGCATTTTTAGCGCGACCTTCGGGAAAAATCATCGGCATTTTTTGAGCGTTACTTTTATTTCTCGCCTGGCACTCTAAGGGTTAAAGTTTTGCCCAAACTTTAAGTGTTTATTAAATTTTAAGCTAGGCCTATGATAAGCCTAGGCCTGTATCCTATGTGCCCTAGGTAAAGTTACTGTATATTTTTGGGATTATTGCACACAATAGGCTAGGCCTACTATGGAACATTTGGTTTTATTTTCCTAGAGGTAGCCTAGTTAGAGCCTAGTCTTGTGTGGTAATACCTTACTACTATTCAATGAGTCCCTATAGTAGATCAACTCTGAAATAATGTGAATTGGCAAGGCACAGCAGCAGCAGCAATGAATAACCTACTGATTCGACTGAAAGAATACTGAATAGCAGTAAGAAGGCTAAGGCAGACAGGGTTTAAATTCAAAGTACAAAATGGCGGGAAATCCAGACCGCCATTTTAACCGTCACATAATAAAGCAATTAAGTCTACTAAGAGTGGATTTGGAACCAGCACAAAGGTTTCACACTTAAAAATCTACAAATGAATTAAGATCTACGATAATCCGTTAACTAAATTCATATTTACCTGTGTGGGTTTAGCCACTGAGCAGTCGGCTTCCTAGGTAGGAAGGACAGTCAAAAATCGGAATATAAAATCGTAAGAATATGCGTTTAACAGTACATCAACGAAGCAAACTTATGATTTTACACTGCAAGAGAACTAAACTATTTTATCATTTCGACGGATTCGGTAAACCCTACGATGTGTTTAATGATTTTCACTCTAAATACAGGCAAAACAACAAACAATGACTTCGAGAACCGCAAAGCAAGAGTACTTGGACTTGGACTTCTTGGGCTTGGGGACTTGGATGGATTGGGATTGGGAACTTCAGCTTCTTCTTCTTCTTGTTCTTGCTTGATTGAATGAAGATGAAGAAATAAGAAGAAGAATGAAAGCGACAAAACGAGGGACCAAAATTAAAATACCCCCGCCGCAGCAAACCTGCAGACTACCATGGCTTTCTACCCGGATGTCTACTAAAATATTTCCTAAAAATTGTCAGATTTATTTCCTATCTAAATAACAATGATTTTAGTAAGTACTTATGTTTGCTGCTAAAGGGACAGCATGTTTGGGGGAAGGTGTGTTTTTGTATTGCAATGTTGATAATAGCTTGTATGAAATAAACAAAATTTCTTAGACATTTAATTTTGTTTTATTTATTTAATATTCTAGGATTTCTAAATTTTCATTTATATTTTTGTATTCATGTCGAGTTTCGATTAGGTACTCTGCAAAATTTGATTTCATTGTCGTTTTGTTACCTGATTTAACGCTTGTATAATGTTCTTGGAACCTTTTCTTAAAAAAATGTAGGATTTATTACAGTCTGAACATTTAATTTGATAAATGCCTGATTTGTTTATATCTTTAGCTTGTTTGTTATATGCTTTATTATAAATTTTGTTTTTTATCATCTGAAAGGCGTTATTTTTAGTTCTGTAACTTATTTTCATATTAGAGTTTTGGAAGGTTTTTCTTGTTGCTTTGTTTATGGTTGTACTATGGGGTATGCAAATATATTCTTTTCTATTGTTTTCTTCAATTGATATTTGTGTTTTAAATTTCTTCTTAAATTTCTTTCGAATAATTTTTTCAATTATACAGTAGAAGATTTGTAGGCTACCCATTTTTTAAGGCTAAATATAGGATGATGTTTTTCTCTTTTTCAAAATCTTTGCTTGACATTGGTATATTTACTAATCGATGTGTCGCATTGAATGAAAAGTTGACAGTTTGTGCTGCCACGGGTGATTTGAATTTGATGGTATGATTATGTCTGTTGTAGTTGGTTTTTGGTCTATTTTAAACTTATGCATGTGTCTTTCTTTCGAAATTGTTATGTCTAGAAAGTTGATTTGTGAATTTTGTACTGTACTTCTTTAGAGAATTTAATTTGCGATGAAAGAGAATTTATGTGTTTATGTAGTTCTTCTGCTTCAATTTGAGTGCCTTCAAATAGGCAAAGAATATCATAAATATATCGGTACCAATATAATAGTTTTGATTTAGTAAGGATTTGTTTCATTCAAAATCCTCGTTGTTTCTAGATTGTTCATGTAAATATCTGCTAAAAGTCCAGAGAGGGGAGAGCCCATGGGTAAACTGTATTCTTGTATGTAAAAGGAATATATGTGTGTGTAAGTGTGTCCGTTAGCACGATAACTCGAGCAAAAATGATCCAATTTTGATTAAATTTGGTACAAACTTGTAAACCTACGTTTATTCGAACGAGTTTGCGAACCAGCACAATCGGACTATGGGAACGGGGGTTTATGGGATAAAAATTGTTTTTTACAATTTGTTACTGTAAAATCATTAAATGTTATAATTTCTTTTCAGACCGATTTGTAGAGCTTAAAAAAGAAATAATTTTGTATATTGAATCCGTTGTTGTAGCCTATGCCTAACGGTTACGGAGGTACTTTAAAAAATCGTAAATTTAAAATTCTCATGTCATTCTTAAGGAGAAGAAATAAACTGTCGCAGATTTATGGGTATATTTTAATCAAATTTGGCAATTTTGTTTATTTCATACTAAGCTACAGTATCAAAATTTTAATATATAAAAAAAACACATCTCAAAATCTTCCCCGTAGCAGCAAACCTAAGTACTCACTAAAATTAATGTTAAAGGAAATAAATCTGAACATTTTTAGGGAATATTTGATTAGAAATCAAGCCGGGTAAATGGAAATTCGAGTCTGCAGGTTTACTGCGTTGGTGGTATTTGTATTCATGGCAATACAAATTCTGATTTTGAGCTTCACATCGCCAAGAAGAACGGACAGGTGCGCGTCACTTCTGCATTTCATAGTTTTCATTTCGGCCCTGGTGCAGAAAATTCAGGAAACATAATTTAAGGATGGTTTTGCAATAAGTTAATTAATTGTTTTAGTTTTAAAGCTTCAAGGAAATTTTGAGTCATTGATAATTTTATTTTCATAATCAATGACTCAACGTAATGGTATTTTTTCGTGGTGTGCTATCCACTCTACTTAAATCATATGTTGAAATTTACACACAATGCGCCGAATGCAATGCATACAGCTGACAGACAGAGATAAAAAAGAAACAAGACAACAAACCAACAAACATAATGGCCGCAAGCTTGCTTCAATTTGATCCTCCAAGCTCTGGAAGCTCTGACTGGTAAGTTAATCGGGTTTCCTGCAATTTAAATACGTATTAGTTAATTTCTTATGTTCTTCAAGTTTAATATATCAATACCTGTGGTAAGTTGATTTTTAATTAGTATTTTTATTGAATAATACATTTTGTCTTCTGCTACGTATGTACACATGTTTGTGACGTCATTCTATTTCCTGCGGGGTCAGGGAATATTCATTATTTGTAATAATATTTGAAAATCTTCAACTATTTCGGGTATTCATCTGTTTGATAGAAGTTAATCTGTTTTTTCAATATAGTATTTTTTTAAAATATTAATTGCTTCTTTCACAATTGGATTACAATTAGGTTATATCAAATATATTTTTAGCTAAAATTGGTAAGTAAACTTTTTGAAACAGGGTAGGCCTACTGGATACCAGGTTAAATTCTAACCTGTAAGCTGATATAAAAATCAAACTGAGAAATTGGGAACATTTTATTTAACTACAATTTTGCTACCGGTAACTTGGCATTCGTAGGTAGGCTACAGTATAAGAAACTAGTCGCCTAAGACTATAGGCTACTAGGATTGACGACGTTAAGGTAGCCTACCTAAACCTATTTTATATTAACTTATGTTACTTAAACTGGCGAGCGACCTTTATTTCAATTTTTAAACGCTAAGTATATTATGTTGGTGACGGATTAACAATTTTATAGATTTTCTGACATTATCTGTTTTACTACACTTTAGCTACTATTGTAATATTAAAAACAATAGTTTTAAAGAACGTAAGTCCACTTGACTCAAAATGCCTTATTTATTGTGCTTACTTTAAGCCCGATTGAAAAAAAAAAACTCAAGCCGATCCAAAACAAATATAGTCAATATTTGTAGTAGTTAAACAAAAACTTATTAGCCTATACTTTTCACACCTCAAGTGTGTCTGCTACAAAAAGAAAACACGATAAAAAGTATTGTTTTTAATTTGATAAAAGCATTTTAGCAAGCATCTTTTTCAAGAAATGTGATACAGTAGAACATCGATAAGACGTGTTTCTAGGGATCAGGAAAATAATCTTGTTATCAAGGTGCTATATAATGCAGTAGGCCTAGGCCTTACTATTGTGTATGAAATGTTGATAAGTTATTAAATAAAATGTGAGTATTATAAAAAATACACTACAGTAAAATTTTTTTTTTTAATTGTATGCAACACAGTTGACGAAATATTAAATTCCCGAGTAATTTCAGATTTCTTTTTTATTTGGGAATTCTGCTTGCTTTACCATCTTTCTTAAAAATTCTACTGTTAATAAATTTAGTTTGTTTTCCAGACATGATTACCACTCAACAAACACACAAAACATTTACAGCTCACAAGCACAAAAAAACATAATACCGGTACTGGACATGAGATGAAACAACAAATTATCAGTAATACAGTAAAGACTAAAATGAACAGACACGCTACTGATCTGTCAATGATAAAAACTATGCTCTGTAAAATAGGAATGATTTGTGTGTGGAGTAGGAATTTTACTTGTTCTAGTCTGGATTGACGTTGTTTCCCCCGAAACATCCACTCTGGCGAATTCCCGTGAGAACTGTTTCATATAGACATCGAGTTTGATAAGATGTCTTCTTGAGGTTGTTTTAATAAAAATAGTTGTGTTATAGAGGTTAATAAATCATTGGGTGTTTTGGCTTTATTAAGGGGACATGAAAAGTGCACTTGTAATCGTCGTTGTTGGGTCATTTAGGGTCGTGTAAACGGGTTTCTACTGTACATGAATTATCAATGTTTCAACGTCAGTTGCTTGATAGTGCTGTGTAATAGTATTTTGTTGCCTATGACCTAACCTTGAGAGATAAAATACTAATCCAAGTTAGTATTTCTTCTCAAAACATTGCTTATTAATACGGTTTTATTACATAAAAATTGTCTTATGCAATCTGTCTTTAGAAAAGAATCATAAGTCTTTTACTTTATTATCCAAATAACTAACAAATAGCTGTGCATTACTAGTTAGGAACACTTGATCTTGATCATTGTTATAGTACATTAATTAACGCATATGAGATTTTGCCTTTTATTCAAAATAAAGTAAATACACAAATATGCAACAACAACTAATGTAGTTACTTGACACACCTTGTATTTTCTCTAAAAAATTAAATGACAATGATCAACAAGTCTACATGTGTCATTAATACAAAGTTTATAAACAATTTGCTATCCACCAATACATGTTTATGTCAAATTTAATCAATATCAGATCATAATTACTTGAGCTATTGTGTTAACAGACACTCACACACACACACACACACATACAAATTTTAATAACTAATGGGCCTAGTGTTTTTGACTTCTTGGGACATTAAAATGTAAAGTGAAATAGTTTATTATATACTTTATGTATTTTCAGCAAAAAAAAAAAACAAAAAAAAAAGAAGAGATTTTATACACAGTGCATTTATACACTCTCATATTTTACTTACTAAACAACTCATAGGTACTAAAAATGTCTCTTTTATTTTGTTATAATAATTGTTATTATGTGTGGCTGTTGCTAAGTCACATATTATAGACAGTAATTCATTTCAGAAAAAAATTACTACAGAATTGTAGTACCGGTACCTAGGGCCGAAAATGAGCTGCAAAACTATTTCCGAACGCTATTTTCTCCCACACTATACCGTATCACCACTATTCACTTTACAATAATAATTCTCACAGTAACAGACACACAACTACAACTTTAAGGTTATGTGGAATATTTTAAGGAATCAGCAAAAATAACAATTAATAAAGAAAATAATGAGGATAAGAATAGTTTATTGCCATTGACCATGTACAAAAAGGAATAGGCATTGTCAAGTTGCACCAGAATAAAACAAAAACAAGTAACTTATAAATTCATATATCTACATAAACCAAGAGTCATTGAGTTCAAGAGTCAAGAGTTCTAAAATCTAAATAAAAAATTAAACTAGTTAAAAAATAAAATAGTTGACTAAGCTGCAGTGACAATAAAACAAGTCTGCTGCGATACTGCTTGTGTATTTAATATACTTTAATTTTTCAAGTAAATAAGCAAACAGCTGGTTTTCGAAACCTGCTCAGTCCCCAATTGACGATGGCAGCTAGCATGGGCCTCCAAAAACATTTGTGAAACGGCTAAAAACATGTTTTGTTGTATAGTGAAAAAGTTATATTTACTACTTTCAAAGTATTATTTTTGAAAGCATGAATGATTTTGACAGTTGTTTGATAAGCAAGAGGGGACATTTTGATAAGGCGAATGTGTGACCTTGTAACCACAATTAGCTGTCTGTGGGCTCGTTTGCTACTAGTTAACACAATCGTCAATTGTGTTCATGAGCCCATCACAATCATGTGCAGGTTCGTTACTCTTACTCTTCCGCCTATTACTATTATTTTAAAAAATCCTTTCACCTTTGGCTGTATGCAAACTTTTAATCACTTGTGCAGCTCTTAAACAAATGCTCAAAATAAAATGCATGTAATGAAAAAGCTACCCTATACCATAAAGAATAAATAAATTTATTTAAACTGTTTGTCGCTGCTTTTAGTTTAATAACAAGTAGGCCTAAAACCTATTTAAAATCTTGAAATATTACTTAAGATATGTTTGTAATAAATAATTTTAAACACTACAGCAACATAATTTTAATAATAAGCTACTGTACATCAATGTTTTGATTGTAAAATGTTTTGATTTAGCGCTTTGAAATGTCATCCAAGACATTTTCAAGAAGCTCCTTTAAATTGGGTTTTTAATTTTGTTCAAGTATTATATAAATGAAAGGAATGATGTTATAAAATATATGGATTTCTCAGCAAGGTGAGGATGAAGAACAGGCTAATGTTGCTAAAACTACTAAAACAGTTGCACACATTGATTACGGTTTGGTATTCATTATCCGATCTTCAGATATCCGACCTTTGCTGCGGAAGATCAAGTACTGTGAAGTCACATGATATTTCCAAGTAGTGTGGCTATACACCATGTAGCAAGTCTATAGAGACAGTATCTTTTGCTTTTATCCAGTTGTGTAGAAAAATTAACCTACCTTTTTTGACCTTAAGATTGACAAGAAAGTTTATTAAAGATGGTTTCTAAACATTGGACTGTTTTATTTTCAAATGGCGTTCAAGTGGTGGTTTGGTTCTTTCTTGCCAACTTTGATTTCTACAATCTCCATTTTGGAACTCAGGACATACTCAGAGTGTATCCTTGTGTAGTAGGTGGGTTATACTTTTGACTATTGATAAAACTTGACATTCCATCACCATGTTAAATTTGTCACCCAATTTTAAATAAAAATGGAGGGAGTTGAATTGAAACCCCATCAGAGTGTGTCTACCTCTCCCTTAACACTGTTAGGTACTGTTGTTTGAATGACATGACTATGTTGTGTTGTAGTGATGCATGTGAACGAGACGTGGAAGACCAGGTGTTTGTCCAGGGATGTCTGGAAGATGAGGAGGAGCGCAGTGGTGACTTCTATATTGCGTCTACCTCTCCCCCTCCCCCACCACAGTCCCCACGCCCACCCTCCGCTGGTGAGTAGACCATCACACTTTGGCTTTCAACACATCAAAAACATATTTTTTTTTTAAACTGGGCCTATGCAGGATTACTAGAAAGTAACAAATTATCTAGCCTGTCCCAGCAGTGGATGGGTACAGTAGTGCTGGTCTCTTGGTATCATAATGTTTCTACATTCATTACACAACCGGCTGTTTCCACCAGCCTTTTCCTAAAACCTGTCACTATTCTCTTGCCATGACTTTTTACACTTTCATGGAGTAGAGTTTTAGCATGACTGTGATTGGAAATCTCAATAGCTGGGTGGTGCGGTAAGGTTACATTGGGAGTAGATTTTTCCTTTTTGATTTTTCAGGACAGACCCAACCATAGGAAGCCTGTTCGGCACACCTACACCGCAGCCAGTCAGTCTTACAGTCACAGTACAATGTCAGCTGCAGCACAAGCAAAGTTACTTTTACCCTAGTTTGGATTTTGTGATTGATTTTTGCTTCCGATTTGGAAAATGGATGAGGAACTTTTAGATTGAATGTTATTGGACAACAATTTACTACTTAAAATACCCACGAGAAAGTAGGTTCATGAGTGTAATGAAGACCACAGGCCAAGTAAACAGTCCTTACCCAACCTGCTTACATATGCGTGGTCTTCCAGAAAACCCCGTGGTAAATAGGCTTCTCCCTCAACTGCAGAACAAGCGATCTGCACCAAATTTAGCACAAACATGGGAATTTTAACTAACCATGGGAACTAGGTATAAATCTGAAATGGTACAAATCGGACCACAGGGCTTTTCCCTAAGTGAATTTAAACTTTTGGAAATTTAACATGAGCCTTATGGGTTAAATGATCGCCATGACATTATTTTGCGAGATAACAACAAAAAGGTAAACAAGAGTTGCAACATATGTTAGTCAACAAATCATCTAAATAGCACATTACAAATACCGTACAGAGAAAAAGGGAAGAACAATAGTATTAATATCATTGAGCATAGTTTACTACAAAATGCTCAAATTACCAATAATTAAGGTTGCCGGAATAAGGTTGATGCTTCAATGACTTTAAATAATCCAAATAGCCATTCCAGTTATGTGAACCAAATAAAGGCCTACCATTGAGTTTGGATACTGCAAGTAGACTTTCCATTTATGTGAACTAGACTTACCATTCAATAATGCAGACTTTGAATAGGTACTGCAATTAGGAATTCCATTAATTTGAACCAAAGATACCACTGAGTTCAGATACTGCAAGTAGACATTTCATTGAAGTGAACCAGACGTACCATTTACTTTGGATACTGCAAATAGGAACTCCATTTATGTGAATCAAATGAACCATTGCTTTGGATCCTGCAAGTAGACAATTCATTTACGTGAACCAAATGTACCATTGAGTTTGGATACTGCTAATAGACATTCCATTTATGTGAACCAAATATACCATTGACATTGGATACTGCAAGTATTTAATCCCATTTACAAGGAACAGATGTAGACTTTAGAAAAGTATTGGATTAATATGCTATATGCTAGCTCCGCTTAATATTGCAAGCAGACAACTGCATTGTACACCTAGTTTAATTGTGTCAGACAAGCTCAGACCCATCTTTCCTTTCCAGCACTACAACAAGTGCAAGTGTAGGAGGACAGACAGCACCACATGTGTTTGTTTTCGTCAAACTCGGTCAGACCCACTCAGACTGTCAAATTTTGCTTCCAATGTACGAGCAGCCTTAGGTTCGTGATTACCAAAATCTACCAAACAATTCAAATCTTTACTGCCAGATTTATCTGAAATTTCCATTGTGTGGGGGGGGGGGGAGGGAGAGGTGCCATCAGTTACTAGTAGACTAGACTAATCACTGCTATCCTAATATTGTGAAGTTTGGTTCAGAGATTTACAAATTAATGCACCTGTGCTTTTCTTGGCTTTCACCCATCATTCCTTCACCATACACGAGACAAATTTGATTATCAACCCATTCCGATGCCAAAGACTTCTTGTTCTTGTCTAGTGCCTGTTACCTTGTTAGGCCAAAACGCTTGTTACTTTCCGGATGGACAACATTGTGTTGGAAAAGTGTTACTTTGTTACAAACCTCAATGATCGACAAAATACTTATCTTCTAGAATAAAACATTAGTTTACATAAAACCATTATGATGTAAATGAAAGAACAGTATTCTTTGGAAGTTACGTCTGATTTGGAAAAGAGTTTTTCTTAACAGGCTGTTTCTTCCTGATGCACTTCACAAAGAAAATGAGTAAGCAAAAAAAGGTAGGCTTCAAATTCAGTAAAGATATTGATGGCAATCATAAGCTTAATTTTTTTTTTCTAGAACGCTAGGCACTAGCCTGGGACTGTTTTCACATTACTTCAGGCTAGACCTAGGAGTTGGGTTATTATCACTTAGATAAAATCCATTGGTGATTTGGTGGGGTTTGAACCGGGGACCTCACTAGACCAGCTTGCTCCCCATAAGCTTGATATTAGAAAATACATAAATTAAAATACAATTTTTCAACAATATTATAAAATCATGAATACAGTATATTCACATTTGCCAGTGTCATATCATTGTCTAACATGGCAATTAGGCTGATAACATTTATAAAACATATCAACCATAAAATAATTTTTGTAACTTATTCCTTTGTAATTAATTTGAGTCACAAAATTTGTTTCCAGGTCCTTTTCCAGGTTGTGCAAGCCCAATACCTAAAGGTTGGTTTTATAGTTTGCAAATCTTCAGGGTCGTCGCTGGGCAGGGTTGGGTGGGGGCAGGTAAAGAAGACGACAAAAATAGGAAAATATAACATTTCATAACTTTTTTGTAATTTATATAACCGAACATGAAACAAAACATTACTTTGCTCATGTTTACTGAACTGTAATGAAGTTAAACCCAAATCAGTAATTCAAAATATACTTGGCATTAATCATCTTAAAACCGAACATGATAAATGCAAGCTAGAGTCCAAACAAAGTCCCACAATTAATGACATCTGGTTTATTAGTGATTAAATGTGTTGAATGTGGTGACATATGACGGTAATAACTTCATAATTGATATCAGATTGTTTCTCCGTTAAAGTGAGCCACTGAATTTGCATAAACACTGTAAGTAATATTAGCTTAATAATCAACTCAGCTGAATAGTGGATATTGGCTCCTACTCTGAGTGGTGCCCTGTTGAGAGGCTTACTGTGGTAGGGATTCTAACTGAAAATCCCTTATAGTACCTCTACCCTGTGTACTCCTCAAACAAATAGTAATGCAAAACAATGCATCTTTTCAAACAAGCGGAAAAACACCATGCAGAACTAGCTTTATGATGTCCAAAAGTTTTTTTTATATTTGAACCCGTAGATGTACTATATCATGAAAAGTTTGATTGGGGAGGGGATGAGCTATTGGGGGAGACAATCCCTCCCATGCGACGGCCCTGATGTTTGACTGGGATTACTAACAAACTTGTTTTCACAAGGGTTTGTAGTAGATGTTTTTGAGTAGTCCTTATGGTAGATATGAAAAAATAAATTTATTTATAATTTTGTAATCCTAATTTTCTCTAACAAAGAATTATCGTGCATAGTCTAGCGTTAATTAGCCTATAACATATAACCAAAACAAAAAAGCTGAAAAATATTGTGAGTAGAACCTTTTATTACAAAAATTGTATGTAATGCTTCTTATTTTTGAAATATACTTTTGGAGAAGTAGTGTTATGTAACCGTAGTTAGTGTGTGACTAAAACTTGTGCCCTGTGTTCAAATAAAATCATGCAACTAGCCTAAGCTACCAAGTCCAGTTGTAAAGCTTCATCTGATTATCCACATACAATCAATAAACACACACTAATAAGTTATGGGTTTTACTTCGTTTTAAAGCATTAAAATGTATTTTGGAATTATTCACAACTATAACCTCAAATTCAATCATCAATTCAACTTGTAAACAAACATTTACTGAAACATAAACAGTCTTAAAAGAACATACAAACCACCCGTCTAAAGCCGTCTACTATTGGTTGATGCGTAATGGTTTGTGATTAGTTAACCACATTTGTCAGCTCCAGTACAGTAAAAGAGCAAAATACTTGTTGCCAACCTTCTTCTGATGCATTTGGTACAATTTGCAGCCAGTTATGCCAAAATATGATACTGTAAGAACTTATTTTCCGATTGTCTCTCTCCGACATTTCTCACACAACCTCAGCCGTCTCGTTAAGAGACGTTCGGCACTCAAGCTACGACAATGGAGCGTCTCGTAGCAAGACACTCATAGGGTTAAAAAAATGTTAAAAACAAACTAAGCAACAGTAGACTTCCTCTAGTCCGTCAGGCTCAGATCTAGATTCGAGGACGGACTGAAAAATGGAATTCTTTCATTCTTTTATTTTCACAGAAGTTACACAAAAACAAACAACAATAACAATGAATTTGACAGGTGGCAGCTGTGTGAATTAAAATCAGCACCGTCTGGGTCGGCGGATGACGCCACACGCGCAACTGAGGCAACCTTTTTTTCAGTAGCCTTGATCCAATGGGACAGTCATGATTTGTTGTGAGCGATTTAAAAGTACTTTTCCTACAGTTGTCAAACAAAGGGGCATTTTGTTCACTTGAATTGGTTTGCAAAACAGCTGATTTCTCAACATTTTACTTTGCCCCATGGACTTTCCTCACTCCGGATGACAACTGAACAAAACAAATCCAGGCTATGTTTATTTTAATTAATTGAATAATAAACAACAGGAAATGGGCCATACGTAGATTAAATTTCCATTAACAATAGTAAAATGAAAAAAAAACACATAAAAACAATGATTTATATTTTGAAAAAGTTGTAATTATTTATTTACAAATATAACTAATTGAAGAGTAATTTTGGTTTTAAAATTTTTTGGATTTGCTGTGATATTGTTTATCTCGTCTTCAATATTGATCATAAATATAAAATCATCCTGATTTCAATGTTGTAATACGTTTGTCAAGAAAATAATAATTTTTGAATTGTCGTATACCAAAACTGTAGACAAAATACAATAAAAAGCAATTTGTCTTCAAAGTGTCCCTTTTAACTCTATAAACATTTTTCTCTCTTTTTAAAAATGCCACTTTGCTCCCTAATACCATAACTTTTACCAACATCAACTGTCAACACAACTGTTTTGGACTCTCTCTTATCCAGTTCACTTTACAATTGAAGACTATAACTCAATAACACTGTCAGGGTGTCCACATTCTGGAAAGTCAGGGATAGTCATGGAAAGTCATGGAAAAAAATTCTGGTCATTGAAAGTCATGGAAATAGGCAAAAAGTCATGGAAATCCCCAATGATGAATGAATTTCAGGGGACCTTTCAATAATCTAGTTGGCCGTAACCCCGACTATTGTAGCATTTTTCCGAATTTTTCACAAATATATGACAATTCAATTAATACAGTTGTCTTAGTTTATGGGTTTTGAGTTTGTATTTAGTTCATTGTTGTACGCCATTGTTATCTGTTAATATGTATTTCAATATTTTCTGTCTAGGCAGTATTATTTGTGTGTTTACGGTATATTATAATTTTCTAGTAAAGTTCGTGAGTCATGGAAATCAATGGTTAATGGTCATGGATAGTCATGGAAAGTCAGGGAAATTAATCACAAAATTTCTGTGGACACCCTGCACTGTACACTCTAAAATTCTCAGCATAGAAAAAAAACAATAGCTTATAATGTGGCTCAGGGTCGTGCAAGTCTCCTCGGTCCCGTAGACAACGCACCACATCCATGTCTCAGAGCAAGAAGACGTCATCGGAGTCGGTCATCAGGGGCCTGACTCGGACCATCTACACGGCCGGGCGACCCCCTTGGTACAACAGCGCTGGACAACAAGTGGAACCATTTGTTATAGGTAATTAGATACTGTACCCATGCTTTTCAACCGGGAGATGTTGAAAAAAGTAATAATGTAGTTTTAAAAAGGCGATTGATTTTAGAAACATAACTTTATCACCCTTTTTATCTTGTTTTCCTTTGTCTTACCTAGGTTGCTTGACTCTAGCCCAAAACCGTTTTACACATTACTTCAGGCTAGGCTTAGAGGGCCACGCCATCTATATTATTAATACGCTACATGAAACTTTGTGAACAATAAGGCAATTTTGTTTTAAGATTTAACCTCACATAGGATATACCAAAATTCTCGTCTTGTGTAGATTTGCAAACTGACCTTACATTTTTGAAAAAACCACTGGGCTCCGCCTGTGCTATAAACATTTACTGGCTTGGTTGAAATGAAATATTTACTATTTGAATTTGGGTTGGCGTAAATATTACAATGGAATACTAAAAAGAAAACTGAATTAACACTGTGCTGCATTTCTTGAGCAATGATTCAAAGAGCTGATTTGCAAACTATGGAAACATGGGAAAGTCATAGAACACCACCAAGTAGAAGAAATAGAAATAATGGTTTTTTTAAAATTAATAATCATTGTTATGGACAACCTAACGTGGCTATGAGTGGGAAACATTTGTAAGTTAGAAGACACTAAAAAACAAGATCAGCTTTTGAAAAATGATAAGATATTTACAAGAAATGTTGATTGTATCGAACTGTTATGTACATCGTGAGTATTTCCATAATCTTTGAGTCGATTTTTTTAAAGTCATCGGAAATTATGACTTTTTTAAATAATACCTGTAATACTTTGCAATTGCTCGAATTCGAGCAACAGGTACACTAGTTATTACTTATACAAGATGAATTGGTGATTAATTAGCACTCTACCACTAGACCAAATGATTCCCTACTCAATCACCCCATAGTTAAATGTAGTATGATAATTAAACACCCACTGCAAAAAACCTGCAGACTATTTGCAAGCCTGCAAATTTTTATTTTCTTGATTAGATTTTCATTCAACTATTTCCCTTCAACATGTTGATTTGTTGTTTTATCGGAATAAGCAGTGCAAACTGCCATTTTTGGCTTTCTTATGCCATTAAACGTAAAAATAAAAATAAAACTTCATAATCATACACAAATGTACAGATAAAATTGTATGCTCAAAATCTCTTACCATACAGAGACAACCTAAATCACAAAAAAAAATTATAATTATTTTACCCAATGTTAAATATTTTTCTAAAACCGGCTAAATGAAACTAAAAGGCAACATAAATTTTTGGTACTGTTAAAAGGTATTTGTGGCGGAAGTGCGTCTGGGAAGACTACAGTAGCCACTGAGATCATAGAGAGCCTCAACGTACCCTGGGTCACTCTCCTCAGCATGGACTCATTCTACAAGGTCAATCACTTAACATAGGGTTTAGGTCTGGAAAAAGTATTACCATGAGAACTGCAGTAATAGCTTATTCCCTATATGGGAAATATGCTAAAGGAGGCGTAAGGGCGGCTATGTGGATAGTGGAGGCTGTATTAAATTAAAAAATATGTTTTTTAAAGTGATAAATATTTAACTTATGTCTGATATTTTAACACGTTGAGTATGGGCTACATCAATTGATGTAGTGCATCACAAGCGCTCCTATCGGGCTACATCAAATGATGTAGTGAGAGTGGCTCTCACTACATTAGTTCAGTATGAGCTCAGCAACTGCGGGAGAACGTTATAATCGCGGCCAGGCTGTAGCTTAGAATGCGAGCCTTATTTTGGTGTTGGTTGTTACAAAAAATTCCCGTAAAATCCTATCTGGCAATGCTTTTGTCCAGGTTTCGGGGATTTTCCCTATTTGAGCCATATTACAAAGACACTGGTTATTGATCCAGGCAGTGCTGCTACCTTTAGGTGTTTCAGTGAACTACATCCACTTTTGGGGCTACGCAGCACAATCACCTCTGCTCTTTTGTGATTCGTCAGACTGAAATATTTGAATGCCAATTACGTTTGCTGATTCAGTGAAGCGCCAAGGCTTTGTCAGGGCCTCGCCGCCATTGGCGAGCGCCTAGCACTCAACGTGTTATGACACAACCACAAGCATTTGTTTTGCAGTTAATTCAAGTGTTTTATCGTTTTTCATATCTAGCCTTCTCATTTTCAAATCATCTCATTGAATTTTTGTGCCTTGTCTATTATTGGTTGTTTAGGTTGAAGTATTTTTATTTGTTTCTTTTGTTGAATACTTAAAACTTTTTAACCAGAACTAAGATATTACGGTACCGGTAACTGTGCTATTTTTATAACATGAAAACTCAAGTGTTGCCCCTCAATATTGGCCTTTCTAAAAAATTATGTCTAGGTTTGGACCACTATTCTTAGTATAGGAATAACAGGTTGACGTAAACTTTGCGAATAAAATGAATATAACTTTGGGTACTTTCCTGTTAAAGGGAACATTCATTATTATCGATGATTTTTTCGCGATATATCGATTTTAACAAATTGAAACATATCAGCTGACAACTACGATAAATATTGTTCAGTATCAACAAACAATAATGAAATGAAACTGTTATAAAAAAAATAACGTAACATAACTAACAAAACTTGCTGTGTAACATTTAAAAATTCCGTGTTTAACTTGCCTATTCTGTTATCAAACGGAATTTTTAATTGGTACAGCAAGTTTGGTTGTTATGTTAGGTTAGCTTAGAACAGTTTCATTTCTTCCATATAATAGACTATTTTAGCCTAAACAAGATCAGTTGTCAACTTGTGACAATCGGAAAAAAATATCGATATATCGAGAAAAAATCATCGATAATAATGAATGTTCCCTTTAACAGGAAAGTACCTAATTTTGTGATATAACACATTTTTAAGTTAATAATAAGTTTTAAACTAATGTAAAAGTTTGATACTGATGAGAAAATTAAACATTCAAGAATCTATTGAGCGGCAATTACGAACAGTCATTGTAGTCAAAATCTTAAAGTTTCACATTAATGTTTTTTTCTTAAGTTTTGATCATAATCTATACATCTTTACTAGAGCTTGTGATTTTTCCTAACTGCTCTATTCTTAATCTACACAACATTTTCATCCACTAATAAATTGTTATATATTAAATGTCTATAGGTAACTCATTTAGGCTTTTTGTCGTATCATAATTTATCTACTTATTTCAATTGCTTCATTCAACTTACCTATTTGTCATATTTCTAAGAGTAAATTACTAGTTTGATCCAGAGAAAAGTCAACATATTTTTGATAGTTTAAATCGGACACAGCTGTCTTTGATCGTTGAGCTTTTATTAAATGATCCTGACTAAAGAACTAGGTGATAGTCTATATCTAATTCTTTTTGTCTATGACGGTACTCAAGAAGTCGCATCTATTACCTGATTCATCCACTATTCGCCCACCCCTATTTTACAAACTAGAAATTATTATTACAAAAATATCTGTAAATCTACCGCTTGTCCTCTGGTGTTTAAAACTGAAGATTAATAATGCCTATCTTGCCGTAAAATTTATACAAAAATAGGGAAACATTTGCTGGACATTAACAAGTATTGATGTCTCAAAGTTATTTATGATAATGAAATTGATTTTCAGGTGCTGAACGAAGAGCAGCATAAGTTGGCAGCCAAGAACGAATACAACTTTGACCACCCAGATTCATTTGACTTTGAACTACTGATACCCACACTGCAGAGGCTAAAGAAAGGCAAGAAAGTGGATGTTCCCATCTACAACTTTGTTACCCACCGTAGAGAGTCCAGGACGGTGAGTGGGACTGTTTAGAGACTACAAAATGTAGTGAGAAATTAATGAAAAATCAAATATTTTAAAGCCATACTTCCTTCAGACTGTAATTAAAAACTAACAGATTAACATGACATCCCTCTTCATTGTATTTAGAGCAGTAACTTCTATTAGGGAAGGAAGAAATCATTAAACTTTAATTTTAATTTAATATTTTAACAAAATTGTTATCTCTTTCAGGAAAGTATTGTACTTTTAAAAAAACAATGACAGTCAAATAAAAAATTACTTTTTGGTTTTATTTCTAATGGTTTGTTTTAAAATATTGTATTTGTTGCAGAAAACCATGTATGGTGCCAATGTCATAATCTTTGAAGGAATTTTGGCATTCTACAACAGTGAAGTATTGAAGGTATTATAAAAATATTGAATAAGAAATTTAATATTTTTTATAACTGTTGATTTTTAAACTATTTTATTAAATGACTAGCGGACTAAATTACAACAAAAAGTATAACTAGAATGTAAAAAATATATATTTTTTGCCACTCATAGTGGTTGCTTGTACCTCCAACTTTGTTCACTTAATACTAACTGCATTATTCACCAAGTGTGTATGTTGAGTTGACTTGCTGGTAAAGTGAGTAATAGGATGGTACATGACGCCACTGAATAAACGCCTTGTGTATAAACTTCTTTACAGTAAGTTAATTCTTTTTATTCAAGCGAAATATCCAAGTGAGTAAATCATAGTTAATCTTCAATCAATCAACCAATCAATCTTATTCGTTGTACAAAATTGTACATTTGAATGGCATCAAGTAGGTATAGGCCTACAGCATGTGTTAACTGAGTACCTAACATACAGTGCCGTTGAGTATATGTACTTACTTACTCTTACTCCTGTAGCCAAGTAAACCCATGCTTTGGTGGTTTTAGCCTCGCCAACAATCCACCTCCATTATTCTCTATCTTCTACCATTTCCACTCTTGCTCCCAATCATCGAGTATATAAGTACCATAAAATATCAATTATTTTGTAGTTTTTAAAAATCAAATAGCTATTCTAGACATTTTGAACTGATTTGCTAATTAGTTGGAGTGGCAATTAAATGATTTTTCTATGGTGTAAACTAAGCTGCTATCATATATTCATTCTAGTGATGTATCAAAACTTATTGTCTAAACTTTATGAACAAAGAAAACCATTTAATTGATTGATTGAAACCGAATCTCAAATCTCAAAACTATCAAAACTTTGGAAAAGTTTCGGTTTCAAGATTCGATCGGCGTTTCAAGATTCAAAAGTTTCAAAATTTAAAACTTTGCCACTTTTATTTTTGAAACTGCTGACATTTTTTGTCATTCTTTATTATTGTTTATAACACTCTTTACACACAATCTAGTAGCAATGGAGCAAACAAATCACCATTAACACTAATGAAACTAGTAAATTGTGTTCTCAACTACAAAAGCCATCTTAAATACAGGAACAACTTACAATTAATTCAGTTTCATATTGATATTGATTAAACACAAATAAGTATTGACCACTACGTTTGTCAGGAGTTTTATTCATTTTAATGTTGGGTTATAAAAAATTATGTTGTTTTTGGTTTGAAGTTTTTCAGTCACATATTTATGTTATTATGTCTGGGTAAGAAGTCAATATCTTTCAGTTTTGATCGCATAATGAAAATGTTATCGTCACCGGTATTTTTAGCAACCTTGACCAGATAGCTAAAAAAGTTTCGCGTTAAGGTTTTGAGGTTACGAAATTCGGGATTCGATTTTTTAAGTTTGGGTTTTGGTATTGATGTTTTAAATATCTGGTTTTGACTATCCCTAATTCTTTCATTTTCTGTTTGAAACTAACAATTGTTGTTTCTTCTTTTATGGATTCGTTTCAGGCAGAGGATTAAAAAACTTGACTTGCGTATGATGGCTTTTGGTGCAAAAGTTTTAATTTGCGAGAAAGAGAAGCCAATTTATGGCGACATCTGGTTTGAAAGTGGTGATAAGTACCAAGAGTCGTTAAAGAGCGCTAATTTTTCTTTTTATGTAGAATTAAATCAATTTCTATCCATAGACTGTTAAAATTCCTGATTCTTGCATTTTTTTTGCTATGGGTAACCAAAGTAGTTTGATACAAATTCAAATGTTATGTCTGTTTTACAGTTGCTGGATATGAAGATATTTGTAGACACAGACGCAGACATCAGACTAGCGAGGAGACTCAAGCGAGATATCTGTGAGCGAGGCAGAGATCTGGACGGAGTTCTCAAACAGTACTCCAATATGGTCAAGCCTGCCTTCTACCACTACATCGCTCCATCCATGGTAACTTGTAGAAAATTGTGTGTACATTAAGCTGCTACTTTTCAATCCATTGTACCTAAATTTTATCTAAAAGGTGCTTCCTGGCTTTCAAGGAGGTAGCCTATACAAAAAGGTCTGATATACTTGGAGTAAACCCTCAGAAATCAAAACCAATAAATATAGATTTGTCTTCTTAATCCATACTGTCATTTAACAGCAGCTTGTAAAAATGTAGTACAACCAAGTTAGTGATGCCCTTCTGTAAACTGCACTGTTTACAGTGCTTCAGTTGAGTACCGGTATTGTCTTTTCTACTTCATAATACACCAAGTTTATATTTTTTTCTGTTATAGGTGTTTTATTACCTATAATCAGTCTGTAACAATTTTCTTAATTTTAAGTTTAATTCTTTTAATCCAGATGACTTGAGTTCCCAATTTGTCTTAGTTAACAAGGATTTTATGTAAAGGGATTATTAAAAGAATTTAGAGTTTCATTTAAATGGACAGCTTGTAGTTTAAACCCCAATAAATTAGTTTAAATTAATAAGAGTTTAATGTACTATTTTATTTATCTTGATCTTAAACAATGACCAAGTTTTTTTTCAAATCCCACCCCTCATGTATACTGTGTGGTAGATGTTATGTTGTATGTGCAGGTACATGCAGACATCATTGTACCTCGAGGTGGAGACAATGCAGTGGCTATTGAACTCATGGTACATCACGTCCACACTCAGCTGACTCTGGTCAGTCCCACCCCTCACGTATACTGTGTGGTAGATATTATGTTGTATGTGCAGGTACATGCAGACATCATTGTACCTCGAGGTGGAGACAATGCAGTGGCTATTGAACTCATGGTACATCACGTGCACACCCAGCTGACTCTGGTCAGTCCCACCCCTCACGTATACTGTGTGGTAGATGTTATGTTGTATGTGCAGGTACATGCAGACGTCATTGTACCTCGAGGTGGAGACAATGCAGTGGCTATTGAACTCATCGTACATCACGTCCACACTCAGCTGACTCTGGTCAGTCCCACCCCTCACGTATACTGTGTGGTAGATATTATGTTGTATGTGCAGGTACATGCAGACGTCATTGTACCTCGAGGTGGAGACAATGCAGTGGCTATTGAACTCATCGTACATCACGTGCACACCCAGCTGACTCTGGTCAGTCCCACCCCTCACGTATACTGTGTGGTAGATATTATGTTGTATGTGCAGGTACATGCAGACATCATTGTACCTCGAGGTGGAGACAATGCAGTGGCTATTGAACTCATGGTACATCACGTCCACACTCAGCTGACTCTGGTCAGTCCCACCCCTCACGTATACTGTGTGGTAGATATTATGTTGTATGTGCAGGTACATGCAGACATCATTGTACCTCGAGGTGGAGACAATGCAGTGGCTATTGAACTCATCGTACATCACGTCCACACTCAGCTGACTCTGGTCAGTCCCACCCCTCACGTATACTGTGTGGTAGATATTATGTTGTATGTGCAGGTACATGCAGACATCATTGTACCTCGAGGTGGAGACAATGCAGTGGCTATTGAACTCATCGTACATCACGTCCACACTCAGCTGACTCTGGTCAGTCCCACCCCTCACGTATACTGTGTGGTAGATATTATGTTGTATGCGCAGGTACATGCAGACATCATTGTACCTCGAGGTGGAGACAATGCAGTGGCTATTGAACTCATCGTACATCACGTGCACACTCAGCTGACTCTGGTCAGTCCCACCCCTCACATATACTGTGTGGTAGATATTTTGTTGTATGTGCAGGTACATGCAGACATCATTGTACCTCGAGGTGGAGACAATGCAGTGGCTATTGAACTCATCGTACATCACGTGCACACTCAGCTGACTCTGGTCAGTCCCACCCCTCACGTATACTGTGTGGTAGATATTATGTTGTATGTGCAGGTACATGCAGACATCATTGTACCTCGAGGTGGAGACAATGCAGTGGCTATTGAACTCATCGTACATCACGTCCACACTCAGCTGACTCTGGTCAGTCCCACCCCTCACGTATACTGTGTGGTAGATATTATGTTGTATGTGCAGGTACATGCAGACATCATTGTACCTCGAGGTGGAGAAAATGCAGTGGCTATTGAACTCATCGTACATCACGTGCACACTCAGCTGACTCTGGTCAGTCCCACCCCTCACGTATACTGTGTGGTAGATATTATGTTGTATGTGCAGGTACATGCAGACATCATTGTACCTCGAGGTGGAGACAATGCAGTGGCTATTGAACTCATCGTACATCACGTCCACACTCAGCTGACTCTGGTCAGTCCCACCCCTCACGTATACTGTGTGGTAGATATTATGTTGTATGTGTAGGTACATGCAGACATCATTGTACCTCGAGGTGGAGACAATGCAGTGGCTATTGAACTCATGGTACATCACGTCCACACTCAGCTGACTCTGGTCAGTCCCACCCCTCACGTATACTGTGTGGTAGATATTATGTTGTATGCGCAGGTACATGCAGACATCATTGTACCTCGAGGTGGAGACAATGCAGTGGCTATTGAACTCATCGTACATCACGTCCACACTCAGCTGACTCTGGTCAGTCCCACTCCTCACGTATACTGTGTGGTAGATATTATGTTGTATGTGCAGGTACATGCAGACATCATTGTACCTCGAGGTGGAGACAATGCAGTGGCTATTGAACTCATCGTACATCACGTCCACACTCAGCTGACTCTGGTCAGTCCCACCCCTCACGTATACTGTGTGGTAGATATTATGTTGTATGTGCAGGTACATGCAGACATCATTGTACCTCGAGGTGGAGACAATGCAGTGGCTATTGAACTCATCGTACATCACGTACACACTCAGCTGACTCTGGTCAGTCCCACCCCTCACGTATACTGTGTGGTAGATATTATGTTGTATGTGCAGGTACATGCAGACATCATTGTACCTCGAGGTGGAGACAATGCAGTGGCTATTGAACTCATGGTACATCACGTCCACACTCAGCTGACTCTGGTCAGTCCCACCCCTCACGTATACTGTGTGGTAGATGTTATGTTGTATGTGCAGGTACATGCAGACATCATTGTACCTCGAGGTGGAGACAATGCAGTGGCTATTGAACTCATCGTACATCACGTCCACACTCAGCTGACTCTGGTCAGTCCCACTCCTCACGTATACTGTGTGGTAGATATTATGTTGTATGTGCAGGTACATGCAGACATCATTGTACCTCGAGGTGGAGACAATGCAGTGGCTATTGAACTCATCGTACATCACGTGCACACCCAGCTGACTCTGGTCAGTCCCACCCCTCACGTATACTGTGTGGTAGATATTATGTTGTATGTGTAGGTACATGCAGACATCATTGTACCTCGAGGTGGAGACAATGCAGTGGCTATTGAACTCATCGTACATCACGTCCACACCCAGCTGACTCTGGTCAGTCCCACCCCTCACGTATACTGTGTGGTAGATATTATGTTGTATGCGCAGGTACATGCAGACATCATTGTACCTCGAGGTGGAGACAATGCAGTGGCTATTGAACTCATCGTACATCACGTGCACACTCAGCTGACTCTGGTCAGTCCCACTCCTCACGTATACTGTGTGGTAGATATTATGTTGTATGTGCAGGTACATGCAGACATCATTGTACCTCGAGGTGGAGACAATGCAGTGGCTATTGAACTCATCGTACATCACGTCCACACTCAGCTGACTCTGGTCAGTCCCACCCCTCACGTATACTGTGTGGTAGATATTATGTTGTATGTGCAGGTACATGCAGACATCATTGTACCTCGAGGTGGAGACAATGCAGTGGCTATTGAACTCATCGTACATCACGTGCACACTCAGCTGACTCTGGTCAGTCCCACCCCTCACGTATACTGTGTGGTAGATATTATGTTGTATGCGCAGGTACATGCAGACATCATTGTACCTCGAGGTGGAGACAATGCAGTGGCTATTGAACTCATCGTACATCACGTCCACACTCAGCTGACTCTGGTCAGTCCCACCCCTCACGTATACTGTGTGGTAGATATTATGTTGTATGCGCAGGTACATGCAGACATCATTGTACCTCGAGGTGGAGACAATGCAGTGGCTATTGAACTCATCGTACATCACGTGCACACCCAGCTGACTCTGGTCAGTCCCACCCCTCACGTATACTGTGTGGTAGATGTTATGTTGTATGTGCAGGTACATGCAGACATCATTGTACCTCGAGGTGGAGACAATGCAGTGGCTATTGAACTCATCGTACATCACGTCCACACCCAGCTGACTCTGGTCAGTATGCAAACACCTTTTTGCTTGCTAAAAAAAAAACACTTTTAGTTTGAAGCTTCACATTCCTATAGTTTATTTAAAAACAATTAGTGTGCAAAATGGAGATTGATTATTATTATTATTTATTTGTTATTTCATTTATTATTATTTATTTTTATTTTATTTTATTTATTATTATTTGGTGTTAGTAGTCTGGGAGATTTATTAAATCAATTCTAAAACTGTCAGGAAACTTGTTAAATGAGTTCGATTGAAACATGAAAAAACTAGTGAAGACAAAGAAAGAGGTTTGCAATTTTATTTCTGATGTGAATTAATTCAGGTTTTTTTAAAGAATAATTTCCCAAGTCTCAGTTCAAGTACTGCATTATGACCAATGCACTGCCTGCGGTCAGTATTGTGTTTGTCAAAGTTAAATTGCACACATGTTGTATGGTTTTTTCAAACAGCTGCTAATGATAACTCAAGTTGTAAAATCATTTAGTGCAATGTACTTATAGTCATCTAATCTTAAATATTTAAACTAAACAACAAAATTCTCTCAAATCTTAAGTGGAGATGATAAGCCATAGATGTACAGGTTTGCTCATGCTATGAGTCCTAGGTACCTTCATGTACCTTCATGAAGAGCCATCAACAGGCAATTCTTGATTATGTGATTCATAGGCTTAACTCTCTACACGGTAGCCTTTCACTACCCTTTTATACTGTTAGTTAGCTATTAATTCTTTGTTTGAATGTTATCTACATCATCTATCTCACAGATTGTGAAAGAAAACATCATCATCTTCTGTAATTGCAGTAAAGTAACAAACATTGTTCCCCCGTAATCGTGATCGTATATTCATCATTGTATCCTGCTATCAAGGCAATATAGTACACATCCCCTGCGATCAAAGATATCATCATTGTCTCCCACTATCGTGACATACATTATCGTGGTACATCATTATTGTCTCCTGTGGTCATGGCAAAACTATTGCATAGTTATTGATAAACAAAGATAGAGTTTTTCCATCAATCCTTAGTTTCAGTCTTTTTACTAAAAGCCTTGTTAAGTATCATTGACAACTGATTTTAAACACAGACCCATACCTATAACTAACTATTGTTGTTGGTATCCTCAGAGAGGCTTCAAGCTGAGAGAAGAGTTAGCCCAATGCAACACCGGCCAACCTCTGCCCAGCTCCATGTACTTACTGCCTGACACTCCCCAGATCAAGGGACTACACACGTTTATCCGCAACAAGGAGACTCCGCGTGACGAGTTCATCTTCTACAGCAAACGGCTGATCAGGCTTGTCATAGAGTATGCACTCTCACTGCTCCCGTTCAAGGTTAGTGTACCATTCTTACTTTTAATCATAATCTGAATAACTTCTTGATCAGCATTGTACGTGTTATTAAATTACCTGAAAAAAACAAACAAATTATTCGTCTAATAACACTACTACTAGTGTTATTACACTACACTAACTAAACACTTTACTAGTGTTATTAGACGTATAATTTTTTTTTTCAGGTGATCATAATCCTATTACAGTAAAATCAAATTAATCCAGCATCTGATATTTCGTTATTTACAAACTTTTTATAGGTAAGTGACTTCTTCTAGCCTGTACCTCTGAGCCTTGTATTTGCTCGTCCACGAGGGACTTCTGTGCATAGAACGTTTTGAGCAAAGCAAGTAATGAGCTAGTTCAGTAAAAGAATGAACTCTAATGACAAAGATGTGGCACTGGAACAGAACCCACAACATTGCTGCCTTGATTTCACAGTCATTCTTGCTGCTCACTTAACCTACAATGCATAAAATGATATATTGACCTTACTTTCATTCACACGGTCCCATTACAGTAAAACTCCTTAATCCAGCATCCAATATACCAGCTAATTCAATAATTTATGTTGGTGTAAGGTTTTGTTACACTGCCTCCCAACCACATTTTTCAGATTTCAGGAGCATTCTGTATTGTTTGCGAGCAATTAGTGTAAGTTGGGCATACTAAAAAATCCCAAAGAAAAACACAAAAAGTGGCCTTATATCTTTAGTGTTAGCCCTTTTGACTCTCCATTGCTAGGTTTCACTATTCCTGTGTTGACCTCTATGTTAGACGAGGGTCAGTAATCAAACATTATCGGTAATCTTGCACTTAAGTCAAAGTCCCAAACAAGCTGATTGCCTACTGTGACTGGGTTAACTGAGCTACACTTAGCAGGTATAAATCTTGCAAAGATAATAAGGCATCAACATCTCTATTGAGTAAAGATTCCATTAAGGTTTTCTGTAAGGCGGGGTATGCATTTTGTAGGAGATGATGGTGGAGACGCCCCAGGGAGTATTGTACCAAGGGAAGCGCTGTGCCAGTGACAGGATCTGTGGAGTCAGTATCCTGAGGGCTGGGGAAACCATGGAGCAGGCTGTCAGGGACGTCTGCAAGGATATCAGAATAGGAAAGATACTGATACAGACGAACCAACAGACTGGAGAGCCTGAGGTGTGTCATTTACACTAAAATTCACATTTGTATTTCTTCACATTTATTAATAAATAGAGGACGTCCAGTGGTTGAAAACTCAAATAAAAATATGTAATGTACAGGCTTCTCTATTTTTACCCCATGCTGTAAACAAAACATGAAATTGAAATTTCTTCAATTGGTTTTTATTTTCTTTAGTTTTTATTTTTCCACCAGCATGGCAACCCATAAGGCCCATCATGTTTTTTTTTTTTAACTTTGTGCTTATTTTTGGACCTATTTTAATTTATTACATTATGCACATCTACGGGAAAATATATTTTCATCACTCCTTAACGAAAGTAACTATTTTCGATAACAGCTGAAATCAATAAAAGTAGTCGTTTCCCAAGCTCTAATTTAGGGCGAGGGAAAATCGATCAGCTGATTTTCCCTCGCTCTAAATTTACTTTCCCTCGCTCTCAATTAGTTCTCCATTTATTCACTACGCGCGCCAGTGTTTTATTACGGTTTAATTTAATGATTTTAATCAGCTGTATGTATTTTTAAAAGTTGTGTTATTCTTTTATTTTGATGTTTAAACAAAATTTATTGAGAAATATACGTAGGTTTCTTTTTAGAAGATTTTATTTTATTTTGATGTTCAATCAAATTAATTGAGAAATCAAATTGTTTTAATATACTGAGGTCTGTTATTCTGTGTTTGTGTATTTTTGCGTCGTGATGAAAAGTATCGTTCATAACTCGTACCGAAAGTTATTATCCGGCACTTGCTCCATTATTCCCGTCCTCGGCTTCGCCTCGTACGTGAAAATAGCTCTCACATACTCGGCTTTGCCTCGCACGTGAAATTGGGGTTCCCTGTGTTCGGCTTCGCCTCACACAAAAACTTGGGCGCGCGACGGAAAATGCCACTTTCGGTCCTAGTAATGAAATATACTATTCTTGTATGTGTGGATTTTTTCTGCAATGCACACGAGTAGAGAAAAAAGGTTTTAAAGAAACATGCTTGCCTATAAATATTTTATTTTGATTTTCTGTTTATATTTCGTTGTTATTTTGTCACCAGCATGGCAACCCATAAGGCCCGTGTAATTTTTTTTAAATTTCCAACTCCAAACGCAAAGCTTGAGTATAACTGCAATAAGCATTTTATACTGATATTCCAACCCTGTACGAAGGACGGGTACTCTGCTTTTTTACTGTCCTTAAACACCCAGTAGTATTAGTAACAACGTCATTCAAATAAATCATATTAATCCAAAAAGACATTCTGTAAATACGAGGGTTGTTTTTTTTTTTTTCAACCTCCGATAGGCTATGAACAAAAGACAAGTTCATATAAAACATAAAATTTATTACCAAAAGTTTGGTCCATTTATGGTTACTTTTTGACATAATCACCAAAGAGATTGAGACATTTGCTATATCTGTGCACCAGATTTTTAATACCCTCTTCAAGAAAAGTGGCCGCCAGTACATTCAAAAAACAAACAAAAAATCAAAAAACAAAAAAATGTCAAAAAAAATTAAAAAATCAAGAAAAAATAAAAAAGGACTTTAACATTTCTAGAAATTCAGTAAACAAAGCAATTATGGTGAATCTGTGGTGTATTTAACCATCCTGTCAAACTGTTGAACCAAGTCATCTGAAACGACAGTAATGAGCTGGTTCAACAAGTTGGCAGAATGGTTAAATAAACCACAGATTCACCATTATTGATTTGTTTACTGAATTTCTAGAAATCTTAAAGTCCTTTTTTTATTTTTTATTGATTTTTTAATTTTTTTGACATTTTTTTGTTTTTTGATTTTGTTTCTTGTTTTTTGAATGTACTGGCGGCCACTTTTCTTGAAGAGGGTATTAAAAATCTGGTGCACAGATATAGCAAATGTCTCAATATCTTTGGTGATTATGTCAAAAAGTAAACATAAATGGACCAAACTTTTGGTAATAAATTTAATGTTTTATATGAACTTGTCTTTTGTTCATAGCCTATCGGAGGTTGAAAAAAAAAAACAACCCTCGTAAAATTAATACCTAAACAGGAAACTTAATAGATACATTTTTTGTAAAAACAATGAAAAGGCAATTTTAAACATATATTATTCTTTTAAACTAAAGAACTTATTTTTATTTAAAAATTCTGTTGAGGATTAAACTGCTTCATTGATTAGCCATCTTGACAAGTGAGTTTTTAGGCATTTAGGATCAAAGTTACAGATATTTAATAACCAGGCAATATATTAAATAACTATCTGCTGGTACTTGTGGCTATTTTAAAATTTGCTCAATCTAGTTAAAGCAGTTCAAGTCTTGAGAACCTCTTGTATGATGGTTATGTTTAATATCTCTTGTGTTTGTTTTCAGCTTTACTATCTGCGCCTCCCTAAGGACATCAAGGACTACTTTGTGATCCTGATGGATGCGACGGTGGCGACAGGCGCGGCAGCCATGATGGCAATCCGTGTCCTTCTTGACCACGAGGTGCCTGAAGAGAACATTCTCATTGTCTCCTTGCTAATGGCTGAGTCAGGTAACATTTATGTTAGCTTTTCTTTCATACAAGGTATCATTCTTTAGAGGTTTAATTTTGCTCTATCTCTGAAGAAGCATTGATTTTACACAAAACATAATAGCTCTATCATAACTAATCTTCTGTTGATCCATAATTTTGACTAAAGACTGAGGTATTTTTTTTTATAAGCCTAGTTGGTCATAGAAAGAGTTTAAGGATTATAATATTTGTTGTTTCATTGGTTTCCAACATCAATGTTTGTTTTTAAGTTGAGTGGCAAATCATTTTTAATCTTCTTCATCTTTGTGGTTGGGAAGATTCATCAAAAGCAAGTACTCACAAGAAAATGTTTTACAAAATTTGGCCGAATAGTTTTTTTTCTGTCAATGTTTTGCTGGAATTTTAGGTACATTTCTTTACAATATTCTTGCATAGCTAAGCTGCAATCCATTGTAACACTAAGCTATAATAAATATCTCACTTCTTGAGAGGATAATGTGCTACTGGCGGCCATTTTGTAGTGCACTGAAATTGTAAATCAAGGATTGTCTATTACATTCTACCATTGATTTTAGGATACTAAAGTAGAAATTTCATTTATATAGACCAGCTGTCACCAATTTTTTATTAAAACAGAATGTCGTTGTGTCAGCCATTCACAGAATTTGTGAGTGTCTAACATTTTATTTTCTACCCAATTATCTGTTGCTGACATAATTGATGAGTCTTAACAGTTGCTGTAGCTCATAATAAGACGTTCCATCAGTTTGACATAGGCCTAGTAAAAAACATTGTACATCAACATAAATTAGCAATTTAATCTCTCGGTGGCTCTCACAAACAACAAAGAATTGAAAAAAAAACTGGTGACAACTTTAACATGAGGATGGACTGTCTAGTTGTATCAATAGTTGAAGATTATACATGCAAGACTAAACACCTTACCAGCCTTACAAACCAACGGCATGTTTGAAGTAGTAGTCAAACTCTCACATCTCCAAACAGTTCAGTTGGTATGAAGCCTAATGGAGGGGGGGGGCATAGATTTGATAAACATCTTCCTTTCCTTTGTTTGGATTTAATTTTGGGTGCTGGTAAGTTAAAGTTATTAAAGGGGTCTTTACAGGCATTTAGGTAAATGTCTTCTTCCTTCTGTAATCACAATTTTGGTTCCAGGTGTACACACGATTGCTTATGCTTTCCCACAAGTGAAAATCGTAACATCAGCTGTGGACCCGGACATTAACGAGAAGTTCTATGTTATCCCAGGCATCGGAAACTTCGGAGATCGCTATTTTGGTACTGAGCCTTCCGGGCAGGTTTGAGACCTAGTCGTAAGATAGATAATTGAATAACTATAGTGACAAGAGAAATCAGTTACCCCAATGTGACTGTACTATGGTAATCTTGTTGAACAGTTGTTGACAAAGCTATGCCTTTTGACGAAACGTAAATAGTCTTATTCAGGCTAAATTTCTTCTCTAGAAAAAGAATTTACGTCACAGATTTTCTCTATTTTATCTTATATCACTGGAAAAGTGATGTGTATTTGTGTAGGAAAATGTTGTCTAACGTAAAAGAATGTTTTTTTTTGTTTTCTGTTTCAAACTTGATTTTACAGAAAAAAAAAAATATTTCACAAAACAGTTGGAAACAGGGTGTTTTTCCAGAACATAATTTTCCAAAACAAGAAAGATTGTTATGAGGAATCCAAAGATGTTTTTTAACTATTTTATTACCATTATACACATTATACAAGTTTTATTTTGAAAGTGTGATATGTTTTATCAAGGTACAAAGTCACAAACTATTTTTCTTCAAGCTTTTTCCAGTTCATATTGAGTTGATTTTTTAAAATGTAAGGTCATCACTTTTACGTCTGCATTTATTGAGTTTTTGATTATTGCCAAAATTTGTTACCACAGAAAATATTCCAGGGCTAATTTATCGAGAGTAACTTTTTATACTGCAAGAAGTTAATCTTTTTAATCTGTAATATTCGAGTGTACAAACATTTCAATCCTTTTAGATTACTTGAGATTTATTTATTAGTTTGGCTCATTCCCTTTTTGAGATCAATTGATCAGTTTTTTATACATTGCTTCAGTTTAAATACTTATCCCTTGACCTATGTGGCTTTTAGGTAGTAAAAACTAAAAAACAATACCTAAACAAACCTCAATTACTGGCCAAAATATCTATGTCCTTGTAGGTTGATTTTACCCTTTTTAAACTTCTAGTGAATCATACTGCTGACCATAAGTTTATGTATTATGACTGACATAATACATATTTATTTTTTTCATAGTTACTATGCTTTATATTCAACTATTTTTTTAACCATCTATTTGTCAGAAATGTTATACTTGTAGGAATTTTACACTAGATGTGCAATTTTTAGTTCTTAACATCAAGCCAAAGTTAGCTTGGTATGGTTTTTATTTATTTTATAAGTTTTTCCTTTTCCTTATATTATTCATCAGTATTCCAAAGCTAAGAGCTTATTCGGTTTTAAGCATATTTATTTCCTACTTGTCTTTAGTTTAGGATTACTATATTACAATATTTAAGGAAGAAACTTATGCTACTTAAATAACATTAGAAATTAAAATAACTAAGTTAGATTTTTTATGATATAACTTTTTATACGATGACCAAGTTTGTTATGTTATTCTACTCCTAAAAAAATTCGAGGGATGAAGTAAATGAAATACATTTACTAGAAAATTTCAATTATAATCAAATGGTTGTAATAAATACATATTTAGACATAATATGGGTACTTTGTTGGAAAGGCCATTACAAATTGACACTTCTTTATTATTTTAATTATTTTAAGTAATTTGAAAAATATTATTATTATTATTACTCATTTGTGATCATTGAACAGATGTTACTATATTCTAGATCTACATTTTCTTAAAATATCTCTTTGTATCGGTGCTTTTAGTTTCAACACTTATAAACTTGTGATATTTTCTGTTTTATCACTTAAGTCATTAGTTTTAAGCCAGAGACATAATATTTAAAGTAAAATATATGTTGTTTTCATAGATCATTCATTAGAAGTGTTATATGGATTTACAGTTGACTCTCAATATTGGACCTGAATAATATATACCTAAAGCCTATTTTTATCTCCTACCGTCACATTTTAGGACACTAGGCTAGCCTGGAACCACTTTTATATTGCTTTAGGCTAGGCCTAGAGGGTCAAGACATCAACATTTTGATCAAGTCCTTTCGTGATTGGCAGAATTTGAACCCAGGACCTCTGGGACAGAAGTCTCACACTCTACCATTAAACCAGCTCGCTCCCCAATAACAATCTTAAGCCTATGCCTATTGCAGCTATATCCTAACTGTAATACCTAATTTAAATGCTAGAAAAGTGAGGTACTTGATTGAATTTACTATGGATTCGCTGTAGATTTTACCCCATGAAAAGATGCAGTTCTTCTGTCACAACACAACCTACTTCCTGTATTCAATGGGTATCATCGTATCATCCAATGACTCCATCATCAATCATGTTGTCAGGTTGAGGTTACTGAGTTTGTCGGACCATCAAGTGTCGGATTATTGAGAGTCAACTGTCATACATCAACAAGCATACATATTAGTAATGAATTTGTGTCAATTAATGTTATTTGATTTATGACATTTGAATGCAATTAAAGTTTTTTTAGTTGTCTACTAATACTTTCAAACAGTGGTTTGCGGGTCTCCGATATTTTCAAGTTGGGTCGGGCAAATGTAGAGCTCATAACATTAAATAAAGGAACCCCAAATAAGTCGATTCTACGTGACAGTCAATAGTTGGCCCCAGAGTTAAGTTTTGGTTGAAAAAATGTTTGGGTAGGCTAGATTTATGCCAGGCAAGTTTAGAGGTATGCAAGCGGCTTGACTTTTGAGCTAAGCTTTTGGTGATCACAGAAAGCGTCTGCAATGATGTGCAATTGAAAATTGACGATTTTGCTGCAATTGTGGTAATGCTTATGTTTTTGTTGCAATTGCGAAAGACTATGATGATGACACTGCAACCACGGAAGTTGTTTACAAGAGATGTTCACAATAATTGCACCTTGACTGAAAAAGATGTTTAAAATTTTGCTGTGATTATAGGAGATGTTCGTAATACCATCACATTAGCGGGAGATAATTTTGTATAATAATTGTTTTTTTTTTAAAGCAACCCATTTTTAGCCTGGCCCAAAGTAAACAAATCTGGCCCGCAGGCCCCTACTTTCACAAGTATTGACATATTTTATGCCTGTTTGCCGTCATAATATGTATTATCTCATTTGATGTACTTTTTAGTATTAAAATAATTTGTTTGGCCTATATACTAAAACATTGACAGGTATTTTAGAAAGTGCTTGCTCATGTAACCAATAACAGTGTCAATTCATTGCTTAAAATTAAGTTAGAAAAGTCAAATAGTACTTGAGCTAGTCTCATACTGTAGTTTTAGCAGATGAAATCAAGTACAATTATGTCTAATCTGAATTGTAACATAGCTACTGTTAGCTATTTTTTACATAATATAATCTATATGTTTAAATAAAACTTGCATAATTTTCAATTTGATAAAAAAATTCATAATTATTGAGCAAAATCTAGTAAAAGTTAAACTACATACAAACGTTTTCCTAGCTGCATCCAAAGATATATTTACCTTCTCATTATTTAACTAGGGATGGGCCGATTCCTATTCTCGATCCTCGATACTTCTCTTGATTGTACTCGATACCGATTCCGAAAAAGGGGTTAGTTTTAGTGATGGTCAGATCCGGATATTGGACTACTGAATCAATGAGATCTAAACTAGAACCAACGCCCGATCAGATCCACAAAATATTGGATCTTAGGCTGGATTCGGTTTTGATGTATCCGATTTGGTTTCATCAAACAAAAGAACTTAATATGGAGGATCCCGATTATAAGGCATATACTGTGACATTGCCAAGCCATATAAGTTATTGACATAAACATATATTGTGACACTGTGACAACATATATATGACAATGTTTGAATTAATATATGTGACTATCCGTATCCATATACGTTACGTGATGTTGACATATAGGCCTACTGTGACATTGCCTAGCCATATAATCTATTGACATCAACATATATTTTGCAAGAAGCACACATCTATGTGTTATTAAGTGAATTTATAATAGGTATCGGTATAGAGTGTGGAATCGAGAATCGAAATCAAAGTTCTGTAATCGTTATCGTAATCCTATCCTGGAATCGGCCCATTACTATATTTAACTATACTTTTGGCAAAAACATTGTTAACTAATATAGAGATCTCAAAAGGAAAATCAATCCCAATCTCTGTGATCCTTAATATTCTTTTAAGCGCTCTTGTTCCTTAAAATTTTAAATATAAAAAGTATTTTTGTTCTTGCCTTTGTCAATTTTTATGATGTTGTTAAAGCAATGCAAAGATGTCATCAAAATTGCCCTGATCAAAAACCAACCTTACACATTAAAAGACAAGCTACTTATAGAAATTACACAGAAAGATATTTGTTATCTGTTTTTGACATTTACAGTAATTTCAACATTTAAGTCTTATAATATAAGCCTTTTGTTTGAAACAAAATTGTTCCCATATAAGTTAAGGGCTTGGATCATCCAATTCCAAGATGTGAAAGATGTGTGTGTAATGTGAAAAATGTCAATGGGATTGAAAACACGTAACGTAAATATATTGTATGGTCTTCTTTTCAGTGAGTTTGAATCCAGAGGCGAAACAACAAAAATTTTCCTAATAATGGTACATTTTTTTTTTTTAACATAAACATTCCTTTAACATACTAATTCAAAAACTTCTTTAATTCCCTAGAATTAGCCCATACAGGGTCCTCAAAAAGAATGGGAACAACATTTAATTTTTAAAAATTTTCGTACATAATGTAACAAATCTTTGCCCATTAGTACCATTTCTAAGTACCCCTGCCACAGCAAACCTGCAGACTAAGCGAATTTCCATTTGCCTGATAAGATTTTCACTGAAATCTATTGTAATAACATAGGGTTCTAATGAAAACCTAGGTTTGCTGCTACTGGTAGGGTAATAGTGTAGTGTCTTTGATTTTCACTTAAATCTATTTTAATAACATAAGTTCTAATGAGAACCTAGGTTTGCTGCTACTGGGAGGGTAATAGTGTTTTTTTTTATTAAAATATTAATAGCTTAGTATAAAATAAATTAATTTGCCAAGTTTAATAACAATATATCCATAAACAAGCAAACTATAAGAATTTACTTATTTTCCAGAAGAATAACATAGAAATTTTAAATTTACAATTTTAAAATTTTTCCATAACTAATAATTTTGTCCAAAAACACTTCAATATATTAAATTTTTCTTTTTTAAGTTCTACAAAATGGTTTGGAAATAAATTGCTAGATTTTGCGTTTTTAGGGTCGCAATGGGTAAAACCAATTTTTACCACATAAAACCCCCTTCCCTTAGTCCGATCATGCTTGTTCGCGAACTAACTTGTTAGGATAAACGTACACTTACACATTTGTACCAAATTTCATCAAAATCGAATAATTTATGCTCGAGTTATCGTGCCAATGGACACACACACACATATATAATTAAAGTCCACGCATAGCCATCCAATCTTTTACGGTTTTAATTGGTGAATTGAAAATTGCAAAGCATTCATTTTGAACCCTGGGTAAAACATTTTTAAAAGGTTTGCTTTCTTTAACATCCTCTAATGATTGTATTCTGTTACTGAAAACGTCAGTTGCATATTCCACAGCTGTTTATATATGTACACAATCCAACTGTTGCTGTTGCTAGCAGCAGCAATGTTGCAAGTTGCTGTTGCATTGTTTGTTACTCCATTTGTGATGAGAGTGCCTAACAGCCTACTGATGGCACTCTAGGATTACTTGAATAAACATGTTTGTACTTGTATAGTTAGTTGCATTCTTTCATTTACATTCCTTTGCCCTCGTCCATTTTTAGTTTAGTCTCATTTGCTAATTTTGATCAAGTGAACTCACAAGTTTCAACTAATTTGTTTTCTTTTAAGCATGCTGTGTGAGAATTTAAATTGTCAAAACATAGTAATACTTATATTTATTTAGTATATTCATTCCTAAACTGAATTTCTTTTTCATGCTGTAAATTTAAATAAATTCACTTATTCTTTTATTGGGGTGGTATCGACTATGAATGAGTGGTTCTACGTTATGTAAGAAAATCAAATAGAGTAGTACATTTTATACTGTAGATGGTAAGGATTTATTCTAGTCTCATACTGTACATTTATTGTTTCACCTAGAGAGAGCAGGGGGCATGTCATTGATACCAACCACTTCAACCGACTGTAGACGGAATATAATAATAATTATGTTGGTAGCATTTTTTTAGCTAGTACCAGGAGACCGAGCATTACACATTAAATTATTTAATAAGTTATTTAGCTAATTTAAAGATATTTATTATGTACGGTAATCAATGTGAACAAATTTTAGATGATACAAGGAAAACTTTTTTTTAATACACCTTTATAAACGCATAGATTTTTATAAAAATTACTTGTATCAGCTGTTTTATTAACTGCAGCTACAAAAACGTATTAACGATAACATGGGCACTTTAAAGGGCTGTAGGGCAGAAGCTGGATTTTTCCCAGCCTTGTAACCAATTCCAATAGATTTCTTGTGGCCAAATACCCCATAATAAACAAAAAAATTTAAAATCCTAGGAGCTTCAATAGAGCTTCCAAGCTGTTTTACATACGTTAATTGGTGACTGAAATTTACGTTTTGTTGGCCATGCCAGCTGTCATCGTCATTTGGGGACCGAGCAGGTTTTTACACACCTAGGGCCGCAAAATCAGCTGCCCGCTTACTTTCTTCAAACATGAATGCATATTAAATACCCAATCCGTATTCATAGCATTGAATTAGAATTGTTTTATTGTCATCGCTGTCTAGCAACTATTTATTATTATCTCGAGCCGGCAAAACCGTCTCATTTTCGGCCCTAGGTACAAAATATACTATTACCTACTCCACTCGCCATTACACAGCGACAGCTCGTATGACATCTGCTGTAAAATGGACATACTGTATAATAATGTAAGCTAAGATAAGTTGGTGATCGATCTCATCACTTATACTCTTCAGATGTTGAAAATAGCTTCTCTCATGAGCTTATATACTTTAAATCCTATATTGAAAGATAAAGGAAGCCCCAGCCAAGATGGGAATCAAAACTGATATTGAACTCGAAATTGAATCATACATGGAAGGCAACATTGTTGTATCCAATCAGAAGTCATAATCGTGTTTTGCGGCCGTAAGTGGGCCATACAAGGGCTCTTATAATGATTTTCATTAAACAATTTTTTGTAAGATCCACTTACTTTTTTAGTTTTGATCACAACAGTTTTGTAAAGAAATGTATTTGTTTTATCAAAAATACCAACTTGGAACGTCTACTATAAGTGTTCAATAAAGAGCATTATAAGAGCCCTTGTATACGAACGTTTTTGTGTACCATTTTCGGGCTGCAAAACACGATTATAACTTCTGATTAGATACAACAACATTGCATTCCATGTATCCAATACAGAATCACCTTTTGCATGACAACTGCAAAACAAAAACGTCTGTAAAAAATGGCTCAAAATGTTATTAGATTTGTTGATGCAGCATGCAATTGCCGATTACTTTCCTACAAAATCATCTGACGTTAATGGGGTAATCAGTGGGTGAGGAGCACGCTGACAAGTGGAAGGAGGGGTGGCAAACTGGCCAACGTCACTGCCTGGAGGCGGCAGATAGTTAAATACGTCCCTGGTGTCGTTAACACTATCTTTACGTGATTGTTGCCTAAACTACTATATTACAAATGTAATTTGACATATTTTTGTACTTTCAAATATTTTTATCTTCCCGAAAGAGAGGTACCGGAACGCCGTTCCGCCACAAATCGAGCATTGGATCTGTTCATAGTGTCCGTACTTGAATTAAATTTCCAGTAGTTGCACTTAAATACATTTGTGTGATACTGATTCATACTTTCCATTTACATAAGGTATACATACTTAGATACAAACTTTACTAATACTTGCAATATTTTACAGAAACCTCTCCAGCCCTCAGGCTATGTTCGTCGCCGAAGAAGATTTTTTTTCACTTTGTGTTCTCCAAAAGTTCATTGAATATGTTTTCTTTAAGATTTTATACATATTTTGCCTGTTTTAGAATATCATAACAGTGTATTAATAAAAGTTAAATGATATTTATATGCTGTGAGAGTTATTTTTGGAAATATGAAAATGGTCGGTTTAAGCATTGAGTGATTTGGAAAATTCCTTAAAGAATAATATAAATTCATGGTTGTGATACGATTTGCCATATACAATCACTAACAGTTGAATTGTAGATTTTTTTTAAACTGGGTAGCCAAGAGGATAAAGTGCTCCCCTGAAAATCTAAATGTTATCAGTTCAATCCTGAGTAGTCAGTAATGTTTTGATAGTTTGAAACTTAACTCAGCAGTCCTCATTGTGATAACTCATTGGGTTTTCATTATCCACCGTTCACATAATTTAGGCCGTTTTAGGGGAAGAAATCCATCCCCTCCACTTGGTCCTACCTTTAAAACAATAGCTCAACAGTTGAGGTTCTCCAAAACGTTGATCAGCTGCAACATACATTAAGCGAAAAAAGTGGTTAGGGAACCTCCCCTCAAAAAACTGCCTAAATTTTGTGAACTGACTAAATGATCCTAGCTAAAAAGAACAGCTGATCCTAGTAAGTTACAAAACTAAGCAAGGCATGCTGAACTAAGAGATTATTTGTATAACTTTTTGAAGAGTTTATTTATTTTAGGGCCGTGCGGTTCCAACAAAACACCGCCACCGCATTAAGTGAAGGTAAATGTTTTGGTTTTTATTTTAAATATGATTTAATATATAGACTGTATGGAATTTAAAAGCCTTAATTTACCTCGTTCTCTAAAATAAGATGTAGTGTGACCTATTGAAGTGGGTGACACACATTGCTTTGCTAGCGCTTTTAGAAAATTTCCCCTCTAGAGAATAATTCATTACCCAGAACTGATTACCTTTTCGTTTCGATGTCCCAAGAGGCCAGGGATACCCTCTGTTCAAATTCATATTCCATATATATTTATTTCGGTTGTAAATTAAATACAACTGTGCTCCCTGAAATTAATAGATTTTCTTGAAGTTGCATGTTATGAGACTAAGTCCATTTTCAAGCATAATACTAACATGAAATATTGAAAGAATTAGTATAATAGTAAAAATCCAATCAGGCAATACAAAATGTACTTAGTCTGCTTGTTAGCTGTGGAGGTAGAGGTAGTATTCAGTATTCATCATTAGGTTTTCATTATTTAAAATACTTTTACAGAATGGTTTATAAACATTTTAAACCCATAGAAAGAAATAAAACGACCAATTTAAAATTATATATTCATCTAGTTTTGTCACAGCTCAACCTTTGACAATATGTTGAGTAAAATGTATATTAATTTGTTTTCAGTCAATGGCAAAGGAGATAGTTGAAAACCGTGTGACAATTGTCTGGGAATAAGTATTGGTTTACTTTACTTACATGGTGATAGAAAAAGTTGACAGCTTGAATAAAAACCTCAATATTTATATAACAACAAAGTTTATAAAATATCCAGAAACTAATGTAACAAAACAACTAAAACTAACTTATGAAATCTAATACTAGTAAAAAACAAGAGTTAAATTGTGATCAAATTGTGTTTTATAATAAATAAAAGTAAATAGTAACATTTTAAAATGAGTTTTTTTACCTATGTTATTTTATCTTTCATACAATTTTATACTATGTCAGTTATTGAGGATTTTTCAAATATTTAATCTTATCAAACAACCAATGCGCTTAAAAGTTTATATTAATAAAGTAGTGATACATTTCCACATAAGTAACATTGGCAAATAAGTAAATAGTTTGGTTATTAAACATTGTACAGAAGATAGAGAGAGTTATAACTATTCCAATAGTCAATGGTTATAATAACAGTAAACAATCAGTTTTTTGTTATTCTAATGAATATTATTTTTACAATTTTATTTAACTGGTATTATGGTCACGGATAATAATCAGGCATAGTAATAAATACCCCCGCCGCAGCAAACCTGCAGACTAAGCGAATTTCCATTGACCTGATTGGATTTACACTAAAATGCCTCCATAAAAATAGCACATTTATTTCCTATTTAAATAGAATTAGTTTAACAAGTACCTTAGGTTTGCTGCAACAGGGAGGGTAAAAAAGATTTTTTTATGAAATGATAATAGTTTAGTAAGAAATAAAAGTATTTTCCAAAATCGATCAAAATATGTTCATAAACAAGCAAACTACAACAGTTGACTTATTCTCCATAAGAATAACATGGGAATTTCAAAATTACAATTTTTTTAAATTTTCTCCGTAACAATTAGGCGCATAATAACGCTTTAATATACTAAATTATTTGTTTTTTTAAGCTCTACAAAATGGTTTAAAAAGAAATTGTGAAATTTCGTGTTTTTAGGGTCAAAAATGGGAAAAACCTATTTTTACCCCATAAAACCCCCCATAAACCCCCGTTCCCATAGTCCGATCATGCTGGTTCGCGAACTCAATCAAGTTTATCCCGCCTTACACCTTCAAACCAAATTTTATCAAAATCGGACAAAAATTACTCAAGTTATCGTGCGGATGGACACATATATATATATATATATATATATATCTCTATATATAGATATATAAAAATTTGAACGAATGGTGTTTTTGGCCTCTGGGGACATCAAAATGAAAAAGTAAATCGGTCCCGGGCTTAGGTCTTACCATGAGACCTACGGTAATAGCTACTTCCCTATAGGGAAATTCGCTAAAATTATAAAATCACAAATGAATAACCTTATTCACTTCATTTATTTATTACATACAAGACATTATGGCACTCAGAATCCACAATCTCAAATAAATGCAAAAGTAGCAGACTAAGAGAATGATGGTGCTAAAAACCAACATCTTTGCAATTGTGCAAAATAGCGGCATTAAAACATGTTAGAATTTGTAGACTAAAATCTACGATTTTCTGGTGAAATTGACAAGCCTAAAACACTTTTTTTACCAGTTCAACTTAAAAACTCAACGCGCTCTGATTTACAGCATTGATATTAAATATAAATATAAATAAAATTGTCAATTATTTATGTAAAGGTGTTTTTCTACCTAAAAATGAGATCAGTAAATGCTATCAACAACTAAGTCTTTCAATTATCCTAACAAAATACAAAACTCTATTTTTCAATAGAGTGCAATTGAATAAAAAAATTCCACTGCCGCAGCAAACCTGCAGACTAAGCAAATTTCCATACGCCTGATTGGATCTACACTAAAATGTCTCCCTTAAAAATATCACATTTATTCCCTATTTAAATAGAATTAGATTACCGAATACTTAGGTTTGCTGCAACAGGGAGGGTAAAAAAGTAAAAAAAATGTAAAATGTTAATAGTTTAGTAAAAATAAATGCATTTTCCAAATTTGATCAAAGTATGTTCATAAACAAGCAAACTACAACAGTTTACTTATTATCTATAAGAATAACATGGGAATTTTTAATTACAATTTTTTTTTTAATTTTCTCCATATCCATTAGGCGCATAGAAATGCTTCAATATACTAAATTATTTTGTTTTTTTAAGCTCAATAAAATGGTTTGGAAAGAAATTGCTAAATTTAATGTTTTTTGGTGAAAAATGGGAAAACCCAATTTTTAACCCATTGGTATAACCTCAAATTAGGTGGTCTAAGTTTTTAACGATTAGAAGATTATTTCCACAGTATGACGAAAATAGTCGGTCATCACACGGAGCAAAGTTTCCGCACATATACACACATATTTGCAAACGTTAGTGTTAGTGTGTGTATTTTCATGTGTTGCTGTTTCATTAATAAACTGGTGTAATAAATGAACAAAAATTGACCCCTTGTGACCCGATTGAAAATTAACATCTTGTCCCATTGAAAATTGAATGTGATAGCCTAGACTGGACTACAAGAATCACTCTGACAGTTAAGTATTTAAACTACTATTATATATCCTACAAGTGATTTGGAGGCTAACAACATGAAATACTAATCTCTGTCATTTCAACAAACTGTAAGCCAAGCCAAACCAAATGGACAACTTGTTACAAACTCAATTTATTTAATCTTTTATGTCACATAAATGATCAAAGTTTCAAAAATTAAGAGATTACTGAATTTTACATTAGTACACACACACACACTTTCCTCCAGATGGTCCAGATGAAGTGTCTACTCTAGTATCCAATAGTTTAATAATCATGTTCAAATTGATGCTTCTTGAAAGGAACCTTTGAAGATGGTCTGATGAAAGTTGACAATTGTTGCCAAAGGTTTCTAGAGTACAATTACTATTACAATGACTTTCAGACAATTTTTGTGCCATCCACTTTACATTATTCTACTCTATAGGTTGTATCTCCTGATGAGTCAGCTGTTACTGTGATCACCTGTTCAGTATCTAGAGTCTACATAACGGTTAAACAGAGCTTCCCAGTGTTCGGAACGTCCAGATGTTGGAATGTTTTCTCCGTTTTGTTTTCTAGTGTATTCTTCACATTCTTCCAAACTTGCTTCTCCATTCATGAATCGGCTGCCGAAGCCAGAGTGAAATGTTAGGTAGCGTTGCTGCAATCAAAATAGTGATAACAAAAATACAGCACAACAATTGGGGTCAAATTACATGTGGGTTAATCAATAGCATAATGGTTGTAGCTAATCAAACACCCAAAACAGTTTATAGTTTAGTCGTTTAGTGTATACTGTATGTGTAAAAAATATAAATTTTTGACGATCTGAAAAAGAATTAGCCAAAGAACTATTTTTATTTTAATGAGATTTTTTGGAGGAGATTTTCTATTTCCTTTTTGAGAAATTATTTGGCGATGTTAAATCTATTAGTTATTTACTTAATAGATTGAGGTTAATAGAAAGAACTTGTTCTCACAAGCTGTAAAAGTAATGTAGGACGGATCTGTTTAAATTTGAAGTTTAGCATTCCTATAGAGTTAGTGATTATTAAACAGCTCCAAAATATATATATAATTGTTTCCATTTCAAATAATAAACTGAAGTTAAATTAAATACACAATTAAATTACATAGTTTGGGATAATGTATACTTATTTAAGTGACATAAAGACTATATAATTTGTGATATCGATGACACCGTTAAATTTCAACCAATGCACAATCTTGTATCCAAACATGCAAAGCTCATTTTAAATTAATTAATAGTAATTTATTAGTACCTAATAGTAAAATTTAAAAAATAAATTTCTAGACAAACTTTTTAACTATTCATTTTTTACAAATGAATATGACAAGCAATCATATTTACAATATGTCCAAAAATATCTTTTTCATGAACATTTATATGTTGGTGCTATTTTAAGAATATAACTACGCCTTCCTACACTTTTCAATATTTTCAATACCTAACCTACACCCCCACTGTAAATGTTAACAGTATCAGGATTGAAGTGTATTTATAATTTTTTTTTAAACGGGTTATAAAACAAACGTTCTTATAACAATGTTACTATACTCTCACCTGCAAATTTTTAATGAACACTCCATCAGCGATGATCTTAGCTGCAACTCTCAAAGCCTTGGCGTAAGTATCGATGGTAGATATGTAAGCGACGGCCAAATCCTTGAGGTCTACAGAGTCAGGACGAAGCTTCACCCCGATGTTGATTCCTCCTGGCTGTAGTCCTCCGTTCTCAATCACAGATTTGAGCAGCAGCACAGCGTCGGGCAGATGAGGAGGCGTTGTTGTGAAGGTCGTGTCGACAGATCCGAGAGCTCCGTAGACAGACGCTAGAGTCAGCTGATGTCCAGGTCTCACACTCAACTTGTACTGCCGGTCCAGCCCGTAGTGTTTGAGGAAGCAGATTGCGCTCGTAGAGTCATACTCGTAACGGAAGAACGTTTTCTGCTCTGTATCGTAATTGCTATCGTTGAACCAATCTTCGAAGTTTGGCTCGTAAAGTAGTTGACCTCTGTAGCCTAGTCTGTCTTTGTAATCTGTGAGGAAATATTTATTTTGTAAATATGTTTACTCCTAGCTTTGTTCTCCTAGGAGGAGACTTTGTGTTCTGTTAAGAGAAATGTTTAAAAAAAGCCTGATTGGTTTATAACTGGTGATTATAATCGGTTTCTTAAAAAGAATCAAGTAAGTTAGTAGTAAAAGCAAAATCTTTCATCACTAATATATCTAAGTGGAAGGTAGCGATTATCGTTAACAGCTTATGTAAAAAAGGTTATGATTCCAAAGTTTTGATTTAGAGCAACAGAAAATGATCATTTGATTTTCCCTTCTTTCCAATTTGTTTTCCATTTGCTGACAAGGCACTGTTTTATCTTATCCATTTATCTTACCCTTTGTAATTCTTTGCCTATCAAGCCTCAAAAAGTCAGAGGCATTGTTTTTAACTTCCCGTATATCAGAAATCAATCAATCAATTATTTAAGATGGGGACGCCACTATGTGCGTATTTTAACCCAAATATGAGTGAAGGATGAGTGTAGGATGAGTGGTGCGATCTTGTAGTCTTGTTAGTGACTAAGGCCGACATGTTCCTTAGGCACAGCTGTTAATTAATAGCCCATACAGCTAATGGCAACTAAGGGACCTACAGTTTATAGTGGAATCCGAACCACATTTTTTCCTTGTAATTTATGAATTGGTCTAGTTATCGGGATAGTACTGCGGATAGTCGTAGTACTCACTAGTGCGGACGTTAATCCAAACCAGGGAGTATCGCATCCACAGTGCATCCCTATAAATATCCACAATTCGTATAAATGCTCTTCTCGCATCAATTATTCCACTATGATTTGCCTTGCAAATGAAACTTGATGTTTCTGTTAAGTTCTACCTCTACCTCCACATACTTTGTGCGCTAGAAACTCACAATAACAAAACATACAAAACATAGCTTTGTAGCATACAATAACAAAACATACTATTAGAGTTTCTTGGGGGAAAAGGATTGATGTATCAGCAGCTTTGGTTCAGTTGATCAGCCTTAGGCTCTTGGCTAATCCTATTATCCTATATCATTATTATTATTAAATTATTAATATTATTATATGGTACCATTGACTGATGGTACATAGATTATTTCATTTATTTATAAGTGGATGGTTTTATTTTTGTTTTAGAGTTAGAGAGGACTTGCAAGTTCTAACTTCGCCTCTCAAATAAATAGGAACATTTTTATTTTACTAACAGAGTTGCATTTGAAGAACATTTATGGGGTTTTTTAAAAATATATAGTTATAATCTCTACCTGCAGCCATCTTCAGCAGTCTGGCATAGTTGCGCAGTTGACGGGAGTGGTCGGTGTTGAGTGTTGAGCTAAAGCCCTCCCTCGCGCCTCGGAACAGGAAGTTCTCTGCTCCGAGCTTTTGAGCGATCTCCAACGCCTTCTTAATCTGAGCGCCTGCAGCACTTACCACCGCTGCGTCCGAACTGGTGCCTGCTCCGTTGAAGTACCTGGAGAACAAGGTAAATCAGTTAAAATAAACACTAACTCCTGGAGAAACTGTGGGTATGAAGATTCTGGAATATTACTTAATACACATTAGTTTGCATGCAAGTACAGTAGAAACTTGCTAACGTGGATGCAACTGGACTTTGGCAGTGCCAGATTGCCAAAGTGTCAGATCCCTGTGAACTAATTAAAATTCACCGTTATTGTGATAATAGCCGTAGTGTCAAAAGGGCTATTACTAATAGGCTTTTTCATCACTCCGTAACGAAAGTAACTATTTTCGATAACAGCTGACTTCAATGAAAGTAGTCGTTTCCCAAGCTCTAATTTAGGGCGAGGGAAAATCGATCAGCTGATTTTCCCTCGCTCTAAATTTACTTTCCCTCGCTCTCAATTAGTTCTCCATTTCTTCACTACGCGCGCTAGTGTTTTGTTATGGTTTAATTTAATGATTTGAATCAGCTGTATGTATTGTTCAAAGTTGTTTTATTCTTTTATTTTGATATTTAAACAAAATGTATTGAGAAATATACGTAGATTTCCTTTTAGAAAATTTTATTTTATTTCATTTTGATGTTCAATCAAATTAATTAAGAAATAAAATAGTTGTAATATTACTGAGGTCTGCTATTCTGTGTTTGTGTATTTTTGCGTCGTGATGAAAAGTATCGTTCATAACTCGTACAGAAAGTTATTATCCGGCACTTGCTCCATTATTCCCGTACGAGGCGAAGCCGAGTGAAAATAGCTCTCACATACTCGGCTTCGCCTCGCACGTGAAATTGATGTTCCCTGTGTTCGGCTTCGCCTCACACAAAAACTTGAGCGAGCGACGGAAAATGCCACTTTCGGTCCTAGTAATGAAATATACTATTTTCTGAGTAAGTATAACCCTACTTGATGTCTGCTGATTATCTTTCAAACTTCTGGCAATGCATCTTGGAAGGCTTATTGAGTGTTAAACAAACCCCTTAAATGAATGACAGATTATGGTGCTATTTAATGTGGATTTTGATGTACAAACGAAGACATAATAATTATGCTATATAACTAAACATAGGTTAGATTTAGCTAATGGTCCTCATCAATAGGGGCAGGATTTTTGGAAATAAGATTACATTCAGAGTCTTGCACTGATGCGCAAAAAGATTTTTAGTAAATTCAATCCGTAATATGTGCTTTGTGGTAAATAAAAACAAGTTTCATATTGTTCGGAATCGAACGTCTTCAGGTGGAAAAGATCATCAGACATGAAAAGATAATAGTTAGTATGGAAACCAGGTGATGTTGGGAAACGTCATAGAAACAACAAATGTTGATAAAGTCGGATAAAAAAGGAAAAAGGGGGAAATAATGAAAAAATAAAACAAATATCAATTGAGGACTCAACACACCAACAGTCTAATTGCTCGTGCTGTAATGGTCCGCAAGGGCGCTATAACAATGGCAACATTATGCGCTGAAAAATTATGACAACTGCAACTTTTTCCATTATTTTTTTCCATTTGAATGTTATGAACATATTTTTCTTAGCTACTGAGTTTTCTGGCTTTACTTGGTTAAAGGTCTGATAACATTTCTCAGGTCTCTTCCCACCTGAGCACGGGATCAAATTCTAGATCACGAAATATTGTGAAACTTGAGTTTTACTAATCGGTGTTGGACATCCAATAAATCATTTACATATTCACGTACATTTAAATTTAAATGGTTGGGTTACATTCAGTTCACCATGAACTTTGTGAAATTAAATATGATTGAAGATTTCAACTTTCAATTAATTATTCTATTAACTCAAATTGTTTGTAGACCCTACTTGTGCTGGGAGTAGAGATCTACGCCAAGCCACAAGGGACGTACTCCTGATCGGTGTTGTAATTCGTTGACAAACTCCACACTCTCGTCCAGGTTGTGACTGAACTCCTCCTGAGAGTCACTTTCTGGAGCCAGCTGTCTGTCCCACACTGTCCAGTGCTTCACTCCTGCGAAAATTCACTTATTTGACAACCATCGTCATCATATCATCACTTCAGACATATTCTTTGTAACCTTGAAAACTGTCTGTGGTTTCATATCATTGATGACATACCTTTGGATATTGAAGTAGACAACCCATCGTTATGGACTAGCTGTTGAGATTTGTTGCTATTAAACTTGGACCTTCCCCTTCCATAAAATTCTCTACATAAAAAAAGTGTTCTTTCTTTTTTAATTCTAAGGTACACTAAATTACTAGATATTCATGATTCATGATTGCACAAAATAACATATGATTATGACTTTTTTTACCCAATACAATTTTTTACAACTAGCCTGTGCTTTAAAGTTGCATGACATTTATTTAATATCTTTAAACCTGCAAAGACAAAAAGCTATCACATTGTTTTACTGTGCCTGAATGACTACTAAGGATGACATTGTATTTTTAACACCAATCCAAAGTATTAAATAAGTATATCCAAATTAACTGATTCGGTAAAGTATCCTCACATCTAATATATAAAATTCTCGTGTCACAGTGTTTGTCTGCAAACTCCTCCGGAACGACTTCACCGATCGTTATGAAATTTGGTGTGTAAATTCTGTAGGTATGCGAATCGGACGTAAACTATTTCCCGTTTCGAAATTCTTAAAAGGGCTCCGCCCCAGTGGCTCTGGAGTTTCCCATGTTAACCTTATGAGAAATGGAATTAATGAATCTTAACAGCTGTTTCAATTAAACAAGATGGTTCTGTTCTATGATGTTCAATAGCATTAAAGTTACAAGGATTACCAACAGGGTGCAGCACTATTATTTCTTTTACATTTATGACAACAGCTAATTTGCAACCAAAAGGTGAGTGAGCGTAGCGAACGAACTTCAACCTGGAGGCGAGTGAGCGTAGCGAACAAGCTAACCTGAAGGCAAGTGAGCGCAGCGAACGAGCTCCAACCTAAAGGTGAGTGAGCGTAGCGAACGAGCTCCAACCCAAAGGTGTGTGAGCGTAGCGAACGAACTTCAACCAGGACGTGATTGAGCGATGCGAACGAGATCATCTTGAAAATTAAACGTAACGGTACTTTCTTTCCATCGGTCTGTCTTAGGGGAAACCTATAACTTAGGCGATACGAAGTTCGCCGGGTCAGCTAGTTATTCAATAAATTGACTTTATGTTCTACAATTTATGTCGCCAGAGTTTGATCCTGAGAAGGATCAGGAGTTTTTTCATGGTTCAAAACTGGACCCAGCTGTTCTTAATCACTGGACATATAATAACCAGCTGATCTTCGTAAGTAACAAAGCTGTCGTCTCGTTCATTCAACACTCATCTTCGCAATAAAATAAGCACCCTTGTGTCAGCTATAAGTAGAATCTAATTAAAAGTATTAAGCGTCTGATATGTAAAACATTATGGGCAGGGAATTGTGTATTCCAGTACCGTACTAGAATACATATTTCCCTGCCCTTAATAGTACTTATACAATCTGAATCTAAACATTGTTGTAGTGTGACTGTGATGATGTGACAAATATAAGATTTACATATGAAGGGAGGTAAATTAGAAGTAGCCGAAGAAAAAGTTAGTTGGACTTAAAAAATTTCTTTTGTAATATTACACACATACTAGTGTCCCTGTTGCTCGAATTCGAGCAATTTCTAAGTATTACAGGCCTTATTTTAAAACGAATAACAGTCATAATTTTTTATGACATTAAAAGATTCGACTCAAAGATTATAGAAGTTATCAAGATGTACTTAACAGATCTATATAATCAACATTTCTTGTAAATATCTTATCATTTTTCAAAAGCTGATCTTGTTTTTTAGTGTTTTCTACAAGTCTATAATAATGATTATAAAATTTAAAAAAATCATTATTTCTATTTCTTCTCCTTAGTGGTGTTCTATGACTTTCCTATGTTTCCATAGTTTGCAAATCAGCTCTTTCAATGATTACTAAGAAATGCAGCACAGTGTAATTCAGTTTTCTTTTTAGTACATCAATTTATCCACGCTCTCTCGCTTTTTTCCATTGTAATATTCACACCAACAAAAATTCAAATAGTAAATAATATTTAATTTCAACCAAGTCAGTAAATGTTTGTAGCAAACTGTTAAATTAGTAAACATTGACTGTTTAAAGCTTTAACTGTATTTATTTATATTTATAAATGAAACTGTTCCAAACTAACCAAACCAAACATATGTTCTTCTTCTCACTTTTAATTTCTAACCACAGCTGGTTTTAACAATGTTTGTTTCCCGTGTTAATCTTATGGAGAAAAACAAAATTTTAAAGGGCCCCAGGGCCTCACTCTCTAATTATTTCCCTAAAAAGAAAGTTTCCTGCACAACTTCACGTTACGCTCTTTCCAATGACACCAAAAACATGTCAATCAGTTCAGTAGTTTCGGAGGAGTAATTGTCACAAAAAACCTGCTTGCGTATTAAATAAGTATAGATATTTATTTTTTTATAAGAAAATAAAATAGGTTTGTTTCTATACAGACTGTCCCAAAAGTCCCGGACCGGTTTAATATTTTCTAAACGACAACAGATAAATCAACAAGATTTGGTACATCAACATCACACCTAAAAATCTACTTTTTTATGGAAATATAAATTTTCTGTCACATCATGGGGACGTCCCGCAAGGAGTCAGAAGGAAATCTTAAATAGAAGCATAGGTTGACATGTACATCAGATTAAAGGTCTTTACTAGCAGAATATAATGCTGCAAATTTAAACTCAAACGGACAACCAAGTCAAGAGTAACAGTGGTTCAAAGATTCATTTAATTTGCATTTGGGGGCAGAGCCCTAGGAGTCAGAACATTTTTGTTAGCGTAAGCATAGGTCGATATGCACATCAAATTAAAGGTCTTCACTAGTAGATTACAATGCCGTAAATTCAAGCTCAAAAGAACGCCTGAGTAAAAAATGGCAGTCGTTCAAAGACTCAAAATGGCAGGTTCAAGAAATCTTTGAACGGCCGCCATTTTGTAACGGGTGATCCTTTCGAGGCGCGGTTTCCGGCATTGAACTCTGCTAGCTAAGCCCTTTAAACTGATGTGCATATTGACCTATGCTCCTATTTAAGATTTCCTTCTGACTCCTCGTGGGACGTCCCCATGATATGACAGAAAACTGATAGTTCCTTAAAAAAGTAGATTTTTTAGTGTGGTGTTAATGTGCAAAATTTTATTGATTTATCTGTTGTCGTTTAGGAAATATTAAACCGGTCCGGGACTTTTGGGACAGTCTGTATATTGTGAATCTACACTTACCTAACTTGGAGTAAAATTCAAATGCAGCTCTGAGTCGCCTCTTGTAACAATCTAAAGTTTGAGTTCCATCGTCCCAAGGCCTGGAATACGTCGACTCATTGAAGCTGAACCCTAGAAAAGACTGTGGTTATAAGCACACCATCTCCATTCAGTACATATCTAAATCTATCATTGTCAGTTTTCACTATGGTAATCCTGTCTACAAAGTTGTACCATGGAGTCGTGTCTACTATGGTAATTCTGCAATGTTTCTTCTTGTATTGTTGAATTCATATAAATTAGTGGACTAAAATATGTTATTTTCTTCAATATCAATATCACACGTGTTTAGATCGAGCATGGCCTCCTCTAATACAAGGCTGCGGTGAGACAAAAGTGGCAACACTGCAATCCCGTCCTACTGAAACAGCTGTTGCATTCATTCATAAATGGAGTGTCTGCACAATGTTTATCTTTGCACGTTTGTTATTACTGTCATAACACCGTAATAGGCCGGCCGGTGCGACGTTGCCACATACCATTAACACCCTGTTCCCTGTACTGCCATGAACCACCTCTGTAGTGTTGTAGAAGCAATGACAGAAAGCTACTATAGTCTACTCACCGTGAGATGTGCTGGGGAGGTGGAAGGCCTGCCAATACGACACTGCTGGTCTCAGCCACTCTTCCATGGGACGGCCATGAACCCTCTCTGTAGCGTTGTAGTAGCGATAACTAAGTGTGTCTTCCACTCCTGCCTCAGGCTTGTACTCCACTTTGCTTAAGGCTATAAAAACAGATAGACACGTATGTCTATTAAATCCAAATTAAATCATTCTCTTCGCTACACTACACAGCAAGCAGCTTATTTCTTTCTGTTATTTTTTTTTGACGATGTTTTTTACGGAAAGGTACAGGAAAAATCAGCTGGAAAAGTCAGCCTTGAGTTACAGTAAACTTACAACAGTTTACTGATTCTCCCCAAGAATAATTAAACGTTGTAATCTTAAATTTACAGGTTTTAAAATTTTCTCTTTAGTTGTCAAGCGCAAAACCATACTTTAAAGTACTTAATTATTAATTTTTTTAAATTTCCCTATAAATGCTTTTTACTATGAGATGTACTCTAGACGGTGCAGAAAGACTACCAGACCCAGGACCGAGTCACTTTTTCATTTTGTTATATGCGTGTACGTGAACGTGATATCTTGAGTAATTTTGGTTCCATTTTGATTAAATTTGTCTTGAAGGTGTAAGGCGAAACAGTGGCAAATCTACCATATGGGCTAATGGGCTTAAGCCGCCCCCCCCTGGACTCATAAACTTACACTAGATAAAACGAGCCTCGGGCTCCTCAACTTACACTAGATCATGCTAGATCCAGATCAAACAAGCTCAATCTCTAAAAAAATCACAGTTTTTGAAAATTACAATAAAATAAATGTTGCGCATTAGTTTTGCGTACATAAACTCAAATGGGCAGATTTAGGTTTATATTTTTCTAGTGTACCTGTTGCTCGAATTCAAGCAATTTGAGTATTACAGGCGTTATTTTAAAAATAATAACGGTCATAATTTCTGATGACCTTAAAAGAAGCGACTCAAAAGATGATAAAAAACTCACGATGTACATAAGAGTTCGATATAATCAACATTTCTTTTAAATATCTTATCATATTTCAAAAACTGATCTTGTTTTTTAGTGTTTTCTACAAATGTTCCCCACTCATAGCTGCATTAGATTGTCCATAATAACAATAAATTCTTAAAAAATCTACGACTTTCCTATATTTCCATAGTTTGCAAATCGCTCAAAAAAATGCAGCACGGTGTTAATTCAGTTTACTTTTTAGTATATCAAATTGTCCAGGCTTTCTCGCTTTTTTCCATTGTATTATTTATGCCAACACAAATTCAAAAAGTAAATATTTCACTTCAACCAAGTCAGTAAATGTTTGTAGCACACGTTTCCTAAAATTTCCTTAAGTTTTCTTAAATCGATTTGTAATGAAATCGCCTTAAAAAAGTTATCCTTGTATAATCTTTGTAAAATTAACGGTTTTCTTTTATGAATTTAAAAACCGTCATAATTTTTTTGGTAGCTTTGTCTAGTTGTCATAAATGTTTGTGCAAAGTTTCAATTTCGTATGTTTAACCATTATTTAGAAACAAACTAATAACTGAAATAAAACAAAATGGCGGCTGTGTGAGTAACTAAGGACTTCCGGACAATTTAAATATGATATTTAAGTATGTTTCTTTTTCAGGAGAAATGCCCTAAAATATTGGTAGAGAGTTCCGGGACACCCTGTACGTATAAAGATATAGATTGTAAAGAACAAATTAACATTTAAAATAATAGTTGTTAGCGCAGCAACGTGCGCCGGGTAACTGCTAGTTTATTATAAAAATAAATCATCTGTAAATGAAAATTGATCATAACGAAATGAGAGGAGAAATGAAAAGATAACTAAGAGATGATAAGATAACCTTGTTATGATTTTTAATATCACAGACTGTATTAAAACTGCGGTTTGATGCCTAATTTAAAAAATGTTCAATATCAATCAGTAATTTCAAAAATAGGTAGCGCATCACTGAATAATATGTTTCTTATAACAAGTTTTGTAGCTCTATATTATTTATTACTACTATTAAATATTTAACAGTCCCGTGGCCTCTTTTCCACCCTGTATATAGCTAAGGAGTTACAGCACAAGCTAAAATTTCCCTCATGAGCGTACTGAGCATGAAACATGCATCTAACTAAGTAGCTTAAAATTAAAAGAATAAAGTTTTATTCTTCCAGTATCTAAAAACGGTTTGTGTATGTCAAACCATACAGGGTGTTTCCATATTGTCTGGACATATTTTGGATATATTTTTGGACTTGTTCCTTGGGCTAAGACAAATATGAAATGCCATATAAGTATGGGTCTAAAATTCCTAGATTTCGGTTTCTGATTTTTAAGAATTATTTTATATCTTTTGGGCATTTTTCAATATAAAAATTTCAAAATTGGTACAAATGTTTACTTTGGAAGGTAAAAAGAACTTAAACATTTTTGATACAATATCTCAAGCCGTTTCAATATGGCGGCCACTTAAAATTTTCAACGGCAAATTTCACAAAAACCGTTACGTATTAAGAAAATCTTTCTTGAGGTAAAAAGATAATTTAAATCCAAATCAAATGAAACCTTGTTTGTTAAAATCGCATGACAAACTCCCGAGGTATCAGTTTTTTTTTTGCATTCGTTTACACAATTTAATAAAAAACTTCTTGATCAGCATTGTACGTGTTATTAAATTTACGGAAAGTAAATGAAAGAAACGTCTTATAACACTTAAAACATATATTTACGCTTATACCGTTACTCACAAGACGGTAAATATACATAAAAGATGCCTTAAAATAGATGTTTGTGGTGATTGATTTCGATTGGACACTCCAACAGTATAAGCGTAAATATATGTTTTAAGTGTTATAAGACGTTTCTTTCATTTACTTTCCGGCAATTTAATAGGAATACCATACTGATCTGTATTATAACAAATAATAAACAGTATGCCATCCTTTTATGACATTTTATGTTTGTCTTAGCCCAAGGAACAAATATGACAATTTGGAAACCCCCTGTACATATGGGTTTGACGTAGGTATAATGCTTACCTGGGAAAAATTCGTTAGCCTCTGGAATGTTGGCACGACTGGAGGCGTCTCGGAGGGATGAGGTTTTCTGTCGCTTGGCAGCTTGCGCAGTAAACATCGCCATGGTGTGTTGTGGTGTTGTAACGGTGGTAGCACTGACCAAGGGTGTATATATCAGCTGACACATGATACCCATATGTTCCGGAGCCTGGGCTCTGTCATGCTGGATGGTTTTGTAAACTAACACCACTGTTCTGCTAGCATATCTTATAGCCAAAGTAAACTGAAATGGAGATAAAAATAGTGGTTTTTTTATCGCCCAGAAGTCGGTAATATTATATTCTAGGTTTATTATTAGCAACAAGATTTTGAGTTGGATTCTTAAAAAAAAATAAGTGTGCACTTAGCAATTAAGTACAACTTAGCAGTACCTACAGAGCTAATGCAATAAGAACATAAAAAATAATACCCTTCTGCAGCAAACCTGCCGACTAAGCAAATTTCTATTTGTCTGAACTGATTGATTTTCAATTAAATCTAATTAAATAACACTAGAAGACCAATGCTGCTCCGCAGCGTATAAATATAATATACTAGAAATAATCAAATTTATGTTTTTGATTGAGTACCAAAATACAGTATCTTGAGCTTAACTGATTAAAACGATCAATAGCTCAAATTAAAGCCTATAATTTACTGATTATTTTGAGTCTAAAACATATAAAACACAACAACAATACTGGAGCTATTGGGTTAAAATATGCACATAATGGCGTCCCCATCTTAAATAATTGATATATTCATATATTGATTTTTAATCATAGAAAAACCTTATGAAAAATAATTTTTATATTGGATGTTCACCTTGCGTTTGCTTGAAACTCGTACAAATTAAATAACTAATATCTTAATTGAAAGCCAGTGCAAATTTTGTTTACTTGTAAGTTGAATGGGATTATAGATAAATATATGCCGATGCTTGATGGCAAATCTTAAAATAAACTTACTAAAGAAATCAAATTAGAAACTTCCAAAATTAAATTTCAATCAAAATTGAAAAAGTTTCTTATCAACAAGGTTATGTACTCCTTTGAAAAGTTTTAGTTCTTTGAAATGTTGGATGTTCACCTTGCGTTTGCTTGAAACTCGTACAAATTAAATAACTAATATCTTAATTGAAAGCCAGTACCTAGATACTACATATGCCGATGCTTGATGGCAAATCTGTGTGTGTATACCTTCAATTTGAGACGTCAATCATGAAAATCGGTCAGGTAAAAGAGCCAAACGAACTCTGAAAAGAGAAACTAAATTTAACTCCTATAAGAAATACTTGGGGTGCAAATTTTGTTTACTTATAAGTTGAATGGGATTATAGATAAATATATGCTGATGCTTGATGGCAAATCTTATAATAAACTTACAAAAGAAATCAAATTAGAAACTTCCAAAATTAAATTTAAATCAAAATTGAAAAAGTTTCTTATCAACAAGGTTATGTACTCCTTTGAAAAGTTTTAGTTCTATAAGTATTTAGTTATTGATTGCTTTTAGCGAATTTCCCATATAGGGAATAATTAGCGAATTTCCCATATAGGGAATAAGCTATTACCGTAGGTCTCATGGTAAGACCTGGACCCGGGACCGATTTAGTTTTTTGTTTTGAGGTCCCCAGAGGCCAAAAACACCATCCGTTCAAATTCATATATATATATATATTTATACTAGCTGACCCGGCGAACTTCGTATCGCCTAAGTTATAGGTTTCCCCTAAGACAGACCGATGGAAAGAAAGTACCGTTACGTTTAATTTTCAAGATGATCTCGTTCGCATCGCTCAATCACGTCCTGGTTGAAGTTCGTTCGCTACGCTCACTCACCTTTGGGTTGGAGCTCGTTCGCTGCGCTCACTTGCCTTTAGGTTGGAGCTCGTTCGCTACGCTAACTCGCCTCCAGGTTGAAGTTCGTTCGCTACGCTCACTCGCCTCCAGGTTGAAGTTCGTTCGCTACGCTCACTCACCTTTTGGTTGCAAATTAGCTGTTGTCATAAATGTAAAAGAAATAATAGTGCTGCACCCTGTTGGTAATCCTTGTAACTTTAATGCTATTGAACATCATAGAACAGAACCAACTTGTTTAATTGAAACAGCTGTTAAGATTCATTAATTCCATTTCTCATAAGGTTAACATGGGAAACTCCAGAGCCACTGGGGCGGAGCCCTTTTAAGAATTTCGAAACGGGAAATAGTTTACGTCCGATTCGCATACCTACAGAATTTACACACCAAATTTCATTACGATCGGTGAAGTCGTTCCGGAGGAGTTTGCAGACAAACACTGTGACACGAGAATTTTATATATTAGATATGTGTCCGTTAGCGCGATAACTCGAGCAAAAATGATCCGATTTTGATGAAATTTGGTATAAACGTGTAAAAACCTACATTTATTCGAACGAGTTCGCGAACTAGCATGATCGGACTATGGGAACAGGGGTTTATGGGGGGTTTTATGGGGTAAAAATGGGTTTTTCTAATTTTTCACCCTGAAAACATAAAATTTTGCAATTTCTTTCTAAACCATTTTGTAGAGCACAAAAAAACAAATAATTTAGTATATTGAAGCATTATTGCATGCCTAACGGTTACAAAAAAATCACAAAATAATGTAAATTTAAAATTGCCATGTTATTCATATGGAGAATAAATACAGAGTTGTAGCTTGCTTGTGTATGGACATATATTAATGAAATTTTGAAATTTTGTTTACTTCATACTGAGCTATTAATATTTCAATAAAAACCCCCTATTTTCTTCCCTGTAGCAGCAAACTTAAGTACTCATTAATATTAATGATGTTTAAATAGGAAAAAAATCTGACAATTTTAAGGGAATAATTTAGTGGAATTCCAGCTGTGTATATGGAAATTCGCTTAGTCTGGAGGTTTGCTGCGGCGGGGGTATATTTAATTTAAATTGAAACTTTTGGTTTTAAAATAATTTTATCTAACTATTTTAATTTTGATATTTTCAACTATAAACTTTCATATTGCACTGCTTGTTTTAATTTATTAGATCTGAAAAGCTATTAATATTGATGGTATGTTGTTACGCCATGCATGATAATGATGAGTATTTTAGTTATGTTAGTTTTATTAAGTTACTCTTGACACCATTCCTGTATTCATGTATTGTACTTAAATAAATAAAGTTATATGAAATGAAATCCGTGTGCGCATATACCTTCAATTTGAGACCTCAGTCATGAAAATTGGTCGGGTAAAAAAGAGCCAAATGAACTCGTAAAAGAGAAACCAAATTTAACTTCCATAATAAATACATGGAGAGCAAATTTCGTTTACCTATAAGCCGAGTGGGATTATGGATTAACTTTAATGGGTTTGGACCGCTTTCCCTTAAAATTGTTTTGACATCATTACAAAAATGCCACTGGCGTAGACACGAGAAAAAAAAATAGATAAATATATGCCGATGCTTGATGGCAAATCTGTGCATGCATATACCTTCAATTAATCATGAAAATTGGTAGGGTAGAAGAGCGAAACGAACACGGAAAAGAAAAACCAAATTTTTTAAATTTATATAAGACTAGAGGACCCATGCTGCTCCGCAGCGTTAAAATAAATATAATATCCGAAAATAATAAAAAATTATGATTTTTGATTGAGTATTACAGTATCTTGAGCTTAACTGATTCAAACAGGCCTATAATTATCTGATTATTTTGAGTATAAAACATATAAACAACAAGAATACTGAAGCTATTGATTTTTAATCGTAAAAAAACCTTATGAAAAATAATTTTTATGTTGGATGTTCATTTTGCGTTTGCTTGAAACTTGTACGATTTGAATAACTAATAGCTTAATTGAAAGCTGGTATTTCACTGAAGGTTCTTAGACCAAAATATATAGGATTATATAATTATAACTGGTGAAATACATCTTAAATTGAAGTAATAATTTGAAAATAAATCAAATTATGTTTTCTGGTCGATTATATTTTAGGTATTGTCAGTTTTCTTAATATTTAGATATAAGTTATGATGTTTTGCTTAAAAACATCTTCTTTTTATTTCATACAGTCTCCACTACCCCGTACACCTTTCAACAAATTTCCCACAAAGGGAATAAGCTATAACTTCAGGTCTCACGGTAAAACCTAGACCCGGGAAGGTTTGCTTTTTTGTTTTGGCGAATTTGTTCATTGCACACTGAGCTATCAATATTTTGATAATAAACACTCCTTTACATTCCCTGTAGCCAGAAAACCAAAATAACCTACTAATTAAAATTTGTATTTGAATAGGATATAAATCTGATAAATTTTAAGGGAATATTTTTGTAGAAATCCAGCCAGGTAAGCTAAATGGAAATTCGCTTAGACTGCAGGATTGCTGCGGCAGGGGTGTTTATTAATACAAAACTAAATGAGAAATCAAATTCTAAACTGTTACAGCTCAAAATAAACCCCAAAATTGGTAAAAAATTACATACACCATAGATTTTTCAGAACTTAAATAATTTAAAAACAACTAATCATCCACAAATTTAACGTTATCTTTGAGTTTTTAGAAAATTTCCCTGACTTAATTTTAAAATTTTCCCCTGACTTTCGGCCTTTTTTAAAAACTTTCCCTGACCTTACAGTTTATGGGGCAAAACCATGTGAAGTCCAAAACTGTTTAAAAATTCTAGCTAAATACCTTCTCAGAATTGCATTATTACAGGGTGCCCACAAAATATTGGTTCAATTTCATTGTTCTTTTTGTAATCTACCACATATTTCTATCGGTATTGGTCACATTTCACATACTATAGTTCACTTTTATAATTTTGTTGCCTAGTTTGTGTCTAAACATAGAATGTGACTGAAAGGTTTTAACTTGTGATGCCTTGTACAAGGTTGGCCAACACAAACTCCCGCTCTTGGGAGTTGTATAATAAATGGTAAAAGTTTGGATGTGGAAAAATGAGCTAAAATCAAATTTACCAAATAAGGTAAACCATCAGCCTATAAATTTAACATATGGAAACAGCAGCAAATAAATCTTTTTCTGTTGTAAATTGAACTAAACACACATACCGTACTGCAGCTGAAGCTCATTTAGCAATTTTCTTCAATAAGCTAAAGCTAGACAAATTCCTA